TTGAAAACGCAAAAGAAATGTCACATCCCTTATTTTTTCTCCAGTTTTCAGTAGCCTCCCAGGCTTGTAAAATTGCACATCATAATTCAGGCTTGAACTCTAGCGAGGTCCACAGCAGAGGTATTTTGTGTGATGACTGAAGAGCCATCCGTAGGCTGTGACTAGTTAGACTGTTGTCCATGGATCAGATCTGTAGTAACAAAACATTTCATTCATTCACTTGTTCATTCATTTCTTTTCTCATCTGTACATTCAGGACATATTACACTCTTACTATATGGCAGGCGTGGTTTTAGGTTCTGGGGCTATGACGATGAACAGAATAGACAAAGCCCCTGCCCTCATAGAGCTTAAATTCTACTTGGGGCATCAGACAATTACAGACAAATCAACCTATGACAGGTAGTTACATGCTCTGAAGATGAATAAGGCAAGGTAAGGAGAGAGTGTGACTGGGTAAGGGATGGTGCTATGTTCTGTGGGATGATTAGGAGACATTTGAGCAGATATTGAAGGGAATGCAGCTATCCAGGAGGAGAGTGCTATGTGCAGAGGAAACATCAGGTGCAAAAATCCTGAGGCAGGGCATGGAAATGAAAGAGCCTGAGATATTGTCGGGATGGAGAGCATCCTCCTGACATTGAAACTGTAGGAGTCAGCCTGAGCCCTTCCTTCCCTTCACATCCAGTTCATCCCCAAGTCTTGTTGGCTCTGCCTCCAGCACATGCCCCATATCTATGGCCTTCTCTACCCTTCCCCTGTCCAAGCTTTTCTCATCTCTTGCCTGGCTATGGCAATAGCATCCTAACTGGCCTCCCTCCTGCCACTTTGCCAATACCAAGCCATTTTCACAAGTCATCCCATGACTGACTCCTTCTTGAAACCCTGCCTATTGCTCTTGCAGTAAATCCCCGACCTCTCCTTCTTATGTGCACAAGGCCATGATGACCTGGCTCCTGCCCATCTCTCCAGCCAGTTTTCACAGGCTCTCCTGTGTCCACTCTCTCACAGCACTCCAGCCACTCAGCCTCCTCCTCCTGCTCCTGGGCCACCAAGGTGCTTCTCCTCTCCCTAAGCCTCTGCACTTTTTCTTCTCTGCCTGGCTTGCCCTTTCCCCAACTTTTCACTGGAGAGGCTCATTTTATCCTTTAGAGGTCTCAGCTCAAATGTCACTTCCCAGACCACTCGGTCTAAAGCAGGCCACATCCTCCCTGGTTACTATCGAAGCCCCGATTTATTTTCTCCACAGCAGTATATTTATAGTAAACATAGTTTATTGCTTATCTCCCCAGGTAGGCTGTAAGCTCCATGAGGGGAAGATGCTTGCCTGATTCACGGTCTCATCCTCAGTGTCTAGCACAGTAATTAAGGCAGAGGGATGAATAAGTACCAGAGTAAATATTCCTCGATAAATGGATGAGGTTGAGTTCTGATACATGCTTGGTTTAGGTTCTGCACTTTCCCCACGTTACATAACGACATCCTCACCAATGCTCTGCCATGTAGAGAACATCTTTATTCTACAGATGAGGAAACTGAGTCCCAGCGAAGTTAAGGTCGAACAAGTTAGTAGGAAAAACTTGTTTTTCTATCCCTATCCCACGCTACTTTATTGCTCAGAAAATGTTCTCAAGGAGCCAGGTTTGAATCAAATAATCAGTTGAGATGCTGCATTTCCCAAGGCAGGGAAGACAGGACAGAGATTTTGGGTCAGGAAAAGTTTAAGGGCAAGGGTTAACAGCTGGCGTTGTGACAGCTCTTGTAGGTGTGTTTTTTAATGATACTCATGATGGACGCCTTCAGGATTAATTAAATAATTTGACCAATTAGTAAATTTATTGATGTGGTTTGACTTTTGAAGAGTATGCCCAGCGTGGTTTGTTTTTATTGAATATCAATCTTGAGTTCTGAGAGTACGCACAGTAGTTTGAGCTGCAATTTGAGGGGGGACAGAGGAGCGGAAGTGTGTTCAGGTTGCTACAGCGGGAGGGCGTGCCTTCAGCTCACTGAAAAGTTGTACTCAGATATAATTTTAAAACAACCCTGCAGCACTTAAAATTGGAATTTGATCTTTCAAAAGTCTATTCTTAACCTCCCTTATTCCCAAACTTACAATATGATAGTATGACATGGATTTTTAAGGAATTAACTGTCTGGAATCCATGCTGAATAAATAATACGTCTTGGCCTAGACCTGCTTCCTGTCTACAAAATCAAAAAGTGATGGATTCATACTGTGAACATTTATGGGAAAAAATTAACAACGCTTTAAGGTGAAATGGAGTCACACAATGGTCACCGCTGTGGCAGAGGCAGCCTGTTCCTCCTGTGAGCTTAAAGGGGTCAAGATACTCAGCAATGAAACACCAACAAAGATATTTGGGAGGACATAGCCAAGAGTCTCTTATCTCTTTAAAACACAGGGAACTTTGTGTGGATTTTATCTTGAGGGAACAATATATGAATTGCGGATTAGGATAAAAAAAATTTGGCAGGGTTTGGGGTATTGCCACCATAACTTGCTAAGACCCCCCTGCCCCACAGTGTTTCTCTAATAACACAGGAGGCCAGGCCCATAGAGAAAAACTGCACTTCTGTGGTTGAAACTGTTTTGCTTGGCAAAGAAGATACGCTGCACATTCTGCTTTTTAGATATCATGTTTAAAAAAATTAACTTTGCATCTGTGTGTATATGACAGAATACACATTAAATAGACACACTCAATTAAACCTTAATTACAAAATGGTAAACAGTGAAGTCTTTTAGAATATGGCAACTGTGAATAAATAAAAAAGCTGCAGAGAAAAAAACACAAAACTTGACATCATGAGGCATGAGCTCATTTCATATAGCTGAAGTTTATGTGTATATAATCGTATCCAGACACCTGGCGCTGCCTTCTATGTAGAATTTTGACAAATACTGGAATTTTGGCTTCAGTTTTAACAGCCTGAACTTATATTTGTGTAACGTAATAACACAATTTAAAAAACCCCTTTTTTCCTCACAAGGTAAAAGGATTCTTCAGCTCTTTGAAAGAAAATGGTTCTCAGCTTCGTTGTGTCCAACAAACAATTGAAACCATCGAGGAAAATATACGTTGGATGGATAAGAATTTTGATAAAATCAAAGTGTGGCTGCAAAATGAAAAGCTTGAACTGCTCTAATGATTTGTTCCCTGCTGGTTCCTGTGATCTGTACTCACCAACATTTTGTCGAATGTGAATATTTTCAAACTAGAGGTGGCTATTTTGGCTCTCCCTGAAGATACTTCCTTTTCCTTCAACTCTTTATTCATTTGATGGTTCCTATGAGAAGACTGGCTGTTAATTTCTTCATCAGTGGGTCATTGCCACCCCGTGTTTCATTTACAGGTGTTGCCCCGTAATGTTAATCCAAGTGGTGGGTTCCCTTCTATGGAGGAGTAAAGTACCTTATTCTTCTAATTTTATATATTTAAGCACTGAGGTCTCCAAGCCCCTGCTCCCCACGTGTTTGTCATTTATAAGCTGTTGTATCAGTCTCCTCGGAAGACTTTGAATAGTGGGGGCTTCTGAACAATGAACACGTGGATCAGTGACTGAGCTAGGGGGCACCTGATCTGCTGTCCACTTTTCTCTTCCTTGCTCCATGCCCAGTGGGGTGCTGATCTGTAGGCTCACAGCAGGCTTCCTTGCCCTCAGGCTTTTTGTTCAATCTCCAAGTAGGGCAGATTGGAGTTGGGATGGGGGAGAGAGTAGGTGGGGTGTTTATTCTCCTGGTTCCCTTGCAGGTGGCTTCAGGCTGGCCTCCACTGAAGGTCTCAGCTCCAGAGAGGTGGCCCTCTTTCCTGACAGCCTTCGCCATCTCCGCATTCTAGCAATGGCTTCCTCCTCTCATCCCTCCAGGATGACGGTGAAGTGGGAGCCTGGCTTTCACTAGACCCGGTTGTACTTGTGGTTTCCTGCCCACACCTTTATTAAATCAAATGAACAAACAAAAAACAACCTATTGCAGAACCCTCCTCTGATAATCCTAATCTGAGTGTGTCGTGAAGTTTCCTCAGGGACCCTGACTGATAGTGTCCCTTCTGAAAAAGCTGAATGCATTCAGTGCTAGAGCAGAAAGCTCTTATTTGAAGTTGAACCTGACAGCTACTGATCCTGAGGTAGGCGTTGCTGCCTCTCCCTGCTCCTTGCTTGGCCTAGTGTATAATTCCTGAAAAACTTCTTACTGGCACTTATTGCCCATAAGTCATTGCAGAGTCTCCAATAAATAACGTATTGTGAAACAAAATAGTTGCTTACATTAGCCTAAATAAGGATAATGTGTTGTCTTTCGAGTCTTTTGAGTTTTCTTAATATACTGCACAATTTAAGATAAAGGAATATGATATGAAAAATGTCGAAATGTGTTGTTCTAATACATTACGGACTAATGACTTTTCTGGACATAAATGTGTTTACAATTCCATTTATACATATTGTGTGCCTTGATAGTTTGAGAAAAACAAACAAATCACTGGTAATTTCCACCCACAGGTATTTTCCTTCTAAAAAACATACAAAGCCAAAATTTTAATGTAAAATATTTTTCTTTAATTGTATTTTATAGCTTGATTAATGAAACATGGAAATAGCGATTTTCAGTTTTGGTCACCTGAAGAACCTATTTTCATTTCCTTTTGGAGAAGTCTATTTTCTAAATAGACATAATATTGCCACAACAATGTGCAAAAACCTTTTTGGTAATAAAAAGTTATTTACCTCTATGCAGATATTTGCAATTATTTCCTCCTAATTAGATGGGTGAAAAGGACTGATTCAGATCCTGTAGCTTATACAAGTCATCATTAATTATTAGCAAACACCCAAGTCTTGAAGACATTTGTTTACTTTTACAGGCACTTCTCTAATCTGGATTTTGGTATGTCATTTAAAAATACTTCTATATATGCATGGAAATTAATAATACTGCAGCCATATCCTTACAAACACATCTGTCAATGTCAAAGGTTTCATTTTTTTTTTTTTCCAACAAAAAACTATACTACCCAAATGGAACTAGACACATATTTAAAATCCCTCAGGAAAAGTGTTTTTCATTTTCTTGGTAGTGCCTTGAAAAGGTCTATTTAGTCTCTGAAACACTGGCTTATAGTTCCCAGATTCAGAATAATAGGCTAATGCCTGCATCTCTGACGAGAGAGACAGCATTGAAAGTGGGGGAAGTTTGAAATCCCATAGCTATGCGCGTGCTTTTTAAAGAGAATTTTTAGAGTATTAATAAAATTTGCCCATTATAAGCAATGTTATTTTTGCTTGCCCCTCCATTAGACAGTATTGGTGATATTTTTAGTGAAGTCTGCTCAGTCCTAACAAAAACTTGAAACAGATGCTAAGGAAGGCTGTTCTCTCTAAAATAAATTCTCGATCAGTTTTATGATATGTACCTGGTCTGTTCCTTTATTCACTACTAGGAACTAAGGATGAAATTAAATATTTTTCAAAATCCCATCAATGAGATCAGTTCTATGATCATAAACCACTCAGAGAACCCATTCAAAGGTGCAAGAATCGGAGCCTTAAATTGCTGTGGGGGGAAAAGCAAATTTTTAAATTTCAGATATCTTTTTTTTTTTTTTAAAAGCAGAAGTGTGTGTATTTGGTAAACTTCCATGAAGCCAGATGCGATACAGTGCAAAGACTAAAGTGGCATTTGCTCTCAGCAAACAATTGCTGCTTAGGTTTATACAGAGGGAATGGAAAGCACAGCTTAACACAGTAAACCAACAGTTCAAGCCATAGGAATAGCCTAAGAATTAGATTTAATTCTTGGAACTTGATATGCGGTGACATAATAGTCTGCAATTTGCTCTTCTGACTTGATTCAAGTCTCAGTATGTTTTCTGCTGGCTATAAGGTGCAAAGAAGTCCCAACCTTCGGGAAAGAAGAGTTCAACCTGAAAAGGGGTGTGGTGCTTCCTGGTCTGTCCAGGTTATCTATTAACTTCTTATCAGCAGCCCGAGTGGCGATAAGTGCCCAATGTACAATATTTAATGTTTGACTTACAAACATTAACCCAAAGAAACATCAAATACGGTTCAAAAGCCCAAGAGGAAAGGGGTAATGAGAAATCAGAACACTGAAGAATGTTTAAAGCATTGTTTTTCAAATGCTAATGACAACAAAAAATTTAAGTGCAAACTGAAAATACAAATGAGATTTACAGGCACTATGTAGAATGTGCAAAAGTTTGCAAAGATTTTTCCTTTTCTCGTGTGTGTTGCTTTAAGAAACTATCAAATATATCTTAGAAATATAAAGTTCCTTTCTCTCCCAACCCAAGGCAATTTTTAAAAATCCAAAGTTTATCAATACTCAGTACAATAACACAGGTGAACCAGACAAATTCAATTTCTTTCCAGGAAAAGAATAACCAAACCAATGTCTAGGATGTCAAAAGCCTCCACAAATACCCCTGTCTAGAAGCCACCCAGGAAAATGTTCTGTTGTCAAAGCCTTTTGTTCTTCAAAAGTCACCATCCACCAGTTGAAGATTTTATATGCAGATACCTTGAAAAATTCAAAGAAAAAAATCCAGTGAACCACTTGATATATAATTTTCTTGTTACAGGCACAGTAAACATAACATTTAGGAAAAGCATTGTATAACAGACAATAAGAAGGAGTTTCCTATAAGTAAACATGAGAGTGGATTATTAACAGAAAATTTTTATAATTTGGGGGAAAATCTTTGGAGCAGTTCTAATGAGTGTACCTCCCTCTTTATAGGAAATAAAAGTAGATCGTGGTGAGACAGCCTACCCCAATTTAACCTACGTTTTGATTTCTCTTTGGGATTTGGTCAGAAAGTGGTTGTAAGCTTTTCAGCTTAGCATAAGACCTCTCTGAAGTTAATAAGGGCCCAGCTCTCAAGATAGATCTCGGAGATTCCCGCATCCATGCGATCCATTCAGTTACCACAAAGTAGAGCCAACATATATGGTACTTTACTTCCCAAAACTAAGACGAAAAAAAGTAGTCAATCTTTTCCTTTGCCCTTGTTCCAAAAACCCTGCAATTTCCACCAGATCCTAAGGGGTACTTCTCCCTACTCCACCATGTGTTGATATTTTGGGTAATATCACTAACATTTCACCATAAATGTAACATGCTGATTTTGCTTTGCCACAGTAACCTGTGTCATGAGCATTTGGGTTTCAAAGAGTCAACTGGACTTAGATTGTCATTTTCTTTAAGAACCTGGCCTAATATCTTAGAGAGTTCTTAATTATAAGATTAATGTTTTTATACATTCCAGTAGCACAATCATCCCATTTAGGGCTTTTCAGGGTATTACTCTCTAGACTTTACAATGTGTATTTCATGCCAAGAGTATAAAGAGAATGTGAAATACTCAAGAGGCGGACTTAGTTTCTTTCACGTATAACACATAGGTAGGTAGAAGGTACAGTTGTCTTCATTTACAACAAACACCCAACTTACCAAATAGTGTGAACTTTAACTCGTCTTTTTTTCATCAGCTTTTGGCTTAGAAGTTTCCTTCTTTGCCTAAAAGGGAAAGAAAAACCATCAATGAACTCTTTCTTTTCTGGATTACATATGATCAACCAGAAGAGCTTTATGAGGCAATGGGCCTCTCAGAATTAAAGAGGCAAAAGATGGCAGCCAGTGGGGGAAAATAAGATGGTCTTTTTTAAGTATCTCCTTTTCATTTAGCCAAAAAACTATGAGTTTCTCCCCTTCAAGTTTATAAGCTAAAAATAACTTTAAGTGATTCTAAATTTTTTACTTTATAGACTTTCTTTTTTTGGGTGAGGAAGATTAGCCCTGAGTTAACATCTGTTGCAAATCTTCCTCTTTTTTTGCTTGAGGAAGATTTACTCTGAGCTAACATCTGTACCAATTTTCCTATATTTTGTATGTGGGTTGCCGCCACAGCATGGCTGACAAGGGGTATAGGTGTGCACCTGGGATCTGAACCCGTGAACCCGCACCACCGATGCAGAGTGTGCCAAAGTTAAACACTAAGCCACAGGGCTGGCCCCTCTTTATAGACTTTTTGAAGGCCAGGGTAATTGAAGAAAAAAACCCCATAGGTGTTCTTGGATGGTATTGTTCATTCACTCTACAGTGACTCATCCTTTTCCTGTTCTTGGGGGCATTGCTGGCCAGCTAATCCACTCAATAGGGTTATTACGCTTTCTATTTTTAATTAAAGGGTTGATCATGTACTTTGTATAATGAAATGAGTAAATATTTAATCTATTTGAGATAAAACAGCAGGAGCAACTAATTATCAATGTGTTTTCTTATACCCTTTATGGATTCCACTACCTTAGTTTTTTAATTTTGTTGTGGTATAATTGACATATTAGTTTCAGATGTACAATATAACAATTTGATATTTGTATATATTGTAAAATTATTACCACAATAAGTCTAGTTAACATCTGTCAGCATACATAGTTACAAAATTTTTTTTCTTGTGATGAGAACTTTTAAGATTTATTCTCTTAGAAACTTTCAGACATACAATAAGTATTAACTATTTACTTTATAACTGGAAGTTTATACTTTTTTTTTTTTTTAAAGATTTTATTTTTTTCCTTTTTCTCCCCAAAGCCCCCTGGTACATAGTTGTATATTCTTCGTTGTGGGTCCTTCTAGTTGTGGCATGTGGGACGCTGCCTCAGCGTGGTTTGATGAGCAGTGCCATGTCCACGCCCAGGATTCAAACCAACGAAACACTGCGCCGCCTACAGCGGAGCGTGAGAACTTAACCACTGGGCCATGGGGCCAGCCCCCAAGGAAGTTTATACCTTTTGACCTCCTTCACACATTTCATCCATCCCCACCCCTGGCAACCACCAATCTATAAGCTCATTTTTTGTGTTTTTTGTTTTAGATTCTACATATAAGTGAGATCATATGGTTATTTGTCTTTGTCTTTGACTTATTTCACTTAGCATAATGCCCTCAAGGTCCATCTGTGTTGTTGCAAATGGCAAGATTTCCTTATTATTTTTATGGCTGAATAATATTCGTGTGTGTGTGTGTGTGTGTGTGTGTGTGTGTGTATTCACTTTCTTTAATCCATTCATCCACTGATGGACACTTAGCTCGTTTCCACATGTTCACTACTGTAAACAATGCTGCAATGAACATGGGGATGCATATATCTTTGAATTTTCATTTTCTTTGGATAAATATGCAGAAGTGGAATTGCTGGATCATATGGTAGTTCTATTTTCTGTTTTTGGAGGAACTTCCATACTGCTTTCCATAGTGACTTCACCAATTTACATTCCCATCAACTGTGCACAAGGGTTCCCTTGTGGTGGAATTTATAGATTGCTTTGGGTAGTATGGACATTTTAACAATATTCTTCCAATCCATGAGCACAGAATATCTTTCTATTTATTTTTCTTCTTCAATTTATTTCATTAATGTCTTAGAGTTTTCAATGTATAGGTCTTTCACCTCCTTGGTTAAATTTATTCCTAGGTATTGTATTCTTTTTGACGCAATTGTAAATAGGATTGTTTTATTTCTCTGATAGTTCATTATTAGTGTATAGAAATGCAACAGATTTTTGTATATTGATTCTGTATCTGCAACTTTACTGAATTTGTTTATTAGTTCTAACATTTTTTTGATAGAATCTTTAGGGGTTTTATATATAAAATCATGTCATCTGCAAATTGTGACAGTTTTACTTCTTCCTTTCTGATTTAGATGCTTTTTATTTCTTTTCTTGCCTAATTGCTCTGGCTAGGACTTCCAATACTATGTGGAATAAAAGTGGTGAGACTGGGCATCCTTGTCTTGTTCTAAATCTTATTGGAAAAGCTTTTAACTTTTCACTGTTGAGTATAATGTTAGCTGTGGGCTTGTCATAGATGGCCTTTATTATGTTGAGGTACATGCCCTCAATACCCACCTTTGCTAAGACTTTTCATCACAAATGGATATTGAATTTTTTCAAATGCTTTCTCTGTATCTGTTCATATTATCATATGAGTTTTATCCTTCATTTTGTTAATGTGGTGTATTACATTGATTTGCAGATGTTGAGCCAAATAAATCCCACTTGATTATGGTGTATGAGCTTTCTTATGTATTGCAGAATTTGGTTTGCTAATATTTTATGAAGGCTTTTTGCATCTATGTTCATGAGGGATATTGGCCTGTAATTTTCTTTTCTGTGGTATCTTTGTCTAGTTTCAGTATCAGGGTAATGCTGGCCTCGTAAAATGAGTTTGAAAATGTTCCATCCTCTTCTGTTTTTTTGGAAGAGTTTGAGAAGACTGATATTAATTCTTCTTTGAATGCTTAGTACAATTCACCAGTGAAGCCATCTTGTCCTGGACTTTTGTTTGTTGGGAGGTTTTCGATTACTGATTCAATCTCCTTACTAGTAATCGGTCTGTTCAGATTTTCTATTTCTGCATGATTCAGTCTTGGTAGGTTGCATGTTTCTAAGAATGTATCCATTTGTTCTGGGTTGTCCAATTTGGTGTGAGTCCTCTTTTTTTCCTGGTGCATCTAGCCAGAGATTTGCCAATTTTGTTTATCTTTTCAAAACATCAGCTCTTAAGTACCATTGATCCTTCTTATTGTCTTTTTAATCTCTATTGCATTTATTTCTGCTCTGATCTTTGTTATTTCCTTCCCTCAACTAACTTTGAGCTTCACTCATTCTTCTTTCTAGTTCTTTGAGGTGTAAAGTTAGGTTGTTTGAGCTTTTTCTTGTTTCTTCAGGCAGGCATTTATTGCTATGAACTGCCCTCTTAGAACTGTTTTTGCTGCATCCCATTAGTTCTGGTCTGTTGTATTTCCATTTTTATTTATCTCAAGGTATTTTTTGATTTCATCTTTGACCCATTTGTTGGGCAGTCTTATGTTGTTTAATCTCCACATATTTGTGAATTTTCCAGTTTTCTTCTTCTAATTCATTTCTAGTTTCATATCATTGTGGTCAGAAAAGATCTTTGATATGGTTTCAATCTTAAATTTGTTGAGGCTTGTTTTGTGGCCTAATATATGATCTCTTCTAGAGAATGTTCCATGTGCTCTTGAGAATAATGTGTATTCTGTTGCTTTTGAATGGAATGTTCTATATATATCTGTTAAGTCCATCTGATCTAATGTATCATTTCCAATCTTCTTTTTGCTGCTTCTTCTCCCCAAAACCTCCCAGTACATAGTTGTATATTCTAGCTCTAAGTCCTTCTAGCTTGGCTATGTGGGATACGGTCTCAGCATGGCTTGATGAGCGGTGTTAGGTCCATGCCCAAGATCTGAACTGTGAAACCCTGGGCTACTGAAGCAGAGCGCATGCACTTATCCACTTGGCCACAGGGCTGGCCCCTGATTTAATGTGTCATTTAAGGCCAACATATCCTTATTGATTTTCTGTCTGGATTATCGAACCTTTGATATAAATGGGGTACTAACGTCCCCTACAATTATTGTATTGCTGTCTATTTCTCCCTATAAGTCTGTCAATATTTTCTTTATATATTTAGGGGCTCCTATGTTGGAGGCATATTTACAAATGTTATAGCCTCTTATTGGACTGACCCCTTTATCATTATGTAATGCCCTTCTTTGTCTCTTATTACAGTCTTTGCTTTAAAGTCTATTTTGTCTGATATAAATATAGCTACCTCAGCTTTCTTTCGGTTTCCATTTGCATGGAATATTTTTTTTCCATCCTTCCATTTTTAGTCTGTGTGTGTCCTGAAATCTGAAATGAGTCTCTTGTAGGTAGCATATACATGGGTCTTGTTTTTTTAATCTATTTTGCCACTCTGTCTTTTGACTGGAGAATTTAATCTATTTACATTTAAATTAATTATTGATAAGTATGTACTTATTGCCATTTTGTTAATTGTTTTCTGGATGTTTTGTAGTTCCTCTGTTCCTTGTTCTCTTGCTCTTCTCCTTTGTGATTTGATGATTTTTTGTAATGGTATGCTTAGACCCTTTCTCTTTCTCTTTTATCTACTATAGGTTTTTGCTTTTGGTTACCATGCAGCTTACATATAACAACTTATAAATATAACATTTTAAGTTGATAACAACTTAAGTTTTAATGCACTCTAAAGCTCTAAATTTTTACTCTCTCCCTCCATGCTTTATATTTTTACTGTCACCTTTTACATCTTTTTATCTTCTGTATCCCTTAATTGAAGTTATAGTTATTTTTATTACTTGTGTGTTTTAACTTTCATAATAGCTTTGCAAGTGATTAATCCACCACCTTTACAACATTAGATTACACTGAATTTTAGTATATATTTACTTTTACCAGTGAGACTTATACTTCCATATGCTTTCCTGTTACTAATTAGCACCCTTTCATTTCAGCTTAAAGAAGTCCCTTTAACAGTCCTTTAGTTTAGTGGTGATGAACTCCTTCAGCTTTTGATTGTCTGGAATACTCTATCTTTCCTTCAATTCCGAATGACAGCTTTGCTGGGTAGAGTATTCTTGGTTGGAAGTTTTCTTCTTTCAGCACTTTGAAAGTATTGTGCCACTCTCTTCTGGCCTGCAAATTTCTGCTGAAAAATCTGATAGTCTCATGGGGGTTCCCTTGTACATAATAAGTTGTTTTTCTCTTTCTGCTTTTAAGATTCTCTCCTTGTATTTTTGACTTTTTAATTATAATGTGTCTTGGTATGGGTCTCTTTGGGTTCCTCTTATTTGCAATGCTCTGAGCTTCCTAGATCTGCATGTCTGTTTCCTTTCCCAGGTTAGGGACGTTTTCATTCACTATTTCTTCAGATGAGCTTTATGCCCCTTTCTCTCTGTCTTCTTCTGGGACCACTAAATATGAATGCTGGTCTGCTTGATGTTGTCTCTTTAGTCTTTTAACCTACCTTTACTTTTTTACATTTTTTTTTTGCTGCTCTGATTGCGTGAGTTTCACTGCCATGTCTTCAAGTTCACTAATCCTTTCTTATTTTTTCATCCAGTCTGCTACTGAACCCCTCTAGTGTATTTTTCAGTTCAGTAATTATATTTTTCAGCTCTGTGACTTCTCTTTGGTACTTTCTTATATTTTCTGTCTCTTTGTTGAAGTCCTGACTGTGTTCATCCATTCTTTTTCCAAGTTCTGTGAGCATCTTTTTGACCATTATTTTACACTCTTTATTAGGTAAATCATTTATCTGTTTTATTAAGGACTTTGTCTGTGGTTTTACCTTGTTCTTTTGTTTGGAACATATACCTTTGTTCCTTTTTCCTTGATTCTCTGTCTTGGTTTTTATGCCTTAGATAAAACCGTCAGTTTTCCCAGTCTTGAATGGGTTGCCTTGTGTAGGAGATGAACCTTATTGTTCAACCTTGCCCTAGCTCTTGGTTGTCTGTTAAACCTTTGTGATTGTCCAAGCAGCCTATTCTATTTTTAGTGGTTCCTAGTAGTTGAAGGTGTGCCAAGACCTGTCAGTGTCCAAAAGGGGAGGATCTCAGTCAGCACTTAGATTCAGGCTGATTGGAAGCAAGACCCACTGGCAGCAGCTGTTAAAGTATGAAAATACACGCAGTCCCGTGGGACCACAAGCATTAAGTCCTGCTGACTACCAGAGCCAGGAGATCTAGAGTTGTCCCCTGGTGGCAGTCACAAAAAATCAGGGTGACAGCAGGGTACAAACTTCTTTCTGGGAGAAACCAGCAAGCTGGAGTGAGGCACAGAGAGTGTGCAAAGATTGCACCCACCATCTTCTGTCCCCAGAAAGTATTTCAGCAGGCTCCTCGATTTGTTAAATTAGATGGCTGTCCCTCAGGCTGAGGCTTAAGATGTGCTGTTAAGCCTCTTTCAGAGAAAGTCTGGATGCTTTTCAATTGGCTACATCTGCAGTGGGCTCTCAGGCACTTGAGTCTGAGAGCACAACCCCTTTAAGAACCATTTCTCAGTTCACTATTGCCTTGTGGGTCTCATGGAAGTGAGCCTCACCGACTTCAAAGCTAGATCTTTTGAGGGCTTGTCTCTCAGGTGCAAGTCTTGAAATTTGGGGTGCCCAATGTGGGGTTCAAACCCTTCGCTCCTCAGGGAGAAGCTCTGGGTTTTGAGTTCCCTTCTGATTGTGTGTTGCTGCACCAGGGGTGGGGTTTATGTCAAGACTGTGTCTCAGCCTCTCTTACCTGCTTCAATGTGGGTGTTTTTTTTTTCGTTTGCCTGATGAAAAGTCATCACTCAGCTAGTTTTTAGGGTTTTTTTTTTCCCTCAGAGGAAACTCTTCCATATGTAGTATAGCTTTGCTGTGTTCATCGGAGGAGGGGAGTTCAGGTCATCCTATGTCACCATTTTGAACTGAAACTCACTATCTTGTTTTTAAGAGTGTTGATGTGGGGGAATATTGTTTTTAAAGCTGCATCTTTAATTTCTCATTAAAGTCAGGGAATTATGGTAATAACCATCTGAATCATATGTTCTTGGAATTGAAACGGACCTAGAAGTTGTCTACTCCAACTTCCTTTCCTGATCACAGTTTGAGTAATTTTAATTATAGGAAGCTCTCAACTGTTGTGCTCCATTAATGCCCAACTCTAAGAAACCAGACCCCCTGTAACTTCTACTCATTAGCCTTAGTTCCACTTTCTAGAGCAACACAAAAAATTATGTACTAAGAGTCCTCCCTCCCAGGTGGTTTCTAATGAGTAAACTGGATCACAGAAACTCTAAGATCATCCCTAATTCTATATATTTCTTCCATGTTCTAAAATTCATATAAACCCCTTTCTCTGGTGTTCCCCATGCACCCCCCTGCCCCAACATTTTAATGTGTCTCAATTTGCTGTGGTTCTTACAAAGAATAAAATATCATAATCAAATTGACTTTTCTTAATGGTATATAAAGGGTTATTTTATAATTGGCAATTTAGATTTGATGAAATACAGTATATCAATCTGTACTGTAAATGTGTTATCCAAGTGGAAATGTGCAGTAGGCAGCTGGAAAAGGTGGTCTGGGTCTTTGGAGAGGTGAAGGTATAAAATACATTCACCCATCCCACCATTCCCCAAAGTTTCAATCCATTATCACATCAACTCTAAGGCCCCAAAGCATGCTACTGACAGAGCAAGGAAACTAAGAATTGATAAGGACCCAGTGATAGAGCAATCAGCATGGCATTGTTGATCTCAGGCAGAGCTCAAGAAGAATCTTTCAAGGAGATGGAGGGATGGAGGGAAACAGGGCAGTAGGCAGAAGGGCTTGTAAGTTTGAGGACTGCTTTTAAAGGGGTGGAAGAATTTGAACATGTCTGTAGTATAAGGGAAATAATTGAGACAAAGAGATTGAAGATGGTGGAGAGAGTTGATTATTGATCCCTGAGAGAAAGGAAGGGGCTGAAGGCAAAGAGATGAGAGGGTTTGTGAGTGGGTAGGTAAGAAGGGGACCTTAGAGATTTTCTGTAGGGTGGCCTCAATTTTCTCTTTGATGTAGAGGGTGAGGCTAGCTGCAGACTGGGGGATGTGGTGAGGGCCTACACTGATTCAGGGTGAACACAGATGGTTCAGCTGACATTGGGAACCATAAAATTACAGTGGGCTCGTCCATACTTTGTGTGACATTACATCTATTTACATTTCTAAAGTATCACTACTTAAAAAAATAAATGTCTGTAAAACTTCAATTTCTTTAACAAGACATGCTAGGGGATAGATAGTGCTTAAATTTTATTCTAAATAGATTCCAATCAGAACCTAAATGACTAAAAGGATAAATGCCACTCCATGTAATTGCTAAACTAATTTCTGTGTATTTACTGCTCTGTTTACCTTTGCGGAATCCTTTGCTTTACCCCCAGTCTTGGGTGCTTTGGAGCTGGAAGCATTCTTCTTGTCTTTGTCCTAAAGCAAAGGAAATGGAATGAGGCTATTGCTATCATCAATCAATCTAGCAATCAACTACTGGCTGCAATCAAATCAATCCGGACTATTCTTTTCAGTAGCTTGGAGATCTCCAATTTAATTAAATAATGGAAAACTTTAAGGTAGGAGGTAAAAAGGACAAAAGGAGGAAAATGTGGGTCACACCGATGCTCTGCCAATTTCCATGATGCATGATTCACCCAGACCTTATTTTGTGCATCAAAACAGACCTTGTTTCTATCAGGACTGGTTTTTATCTGCCAATAGAGCAAGAATAGGACCCTGTTTTCAGTGTTACGGGAGAGAAATATAACAATGGAAACCACCACAGACAGCTGGGGGACATCATTTATAAAGTCCTTTCACCAAAAAAGGCATTATTTGTAAGTTTCCAGGAGTGAGAAATAGGATGCTGAGGCGGTCTAGAGATTAAGTCACCCAATATGGGAAGAGTAACAAATCAGTGATTGGGAGATACGTTTAATAATAGCCAAAACAATAGCAAAGAGATCTGTAGTATTAACTCTTCTGAAAATAATAATAAAGGGCACTCATTTCACTTTTCCTTCTATTTGATTTATGGGAGGGTGTAGTTTACAGGTAAAATGCCACACATTTGTTGAATTACATGACTTTTTCACTTACTTTTAGTCACATGTTTTGAGCACCTGCTAAGACCAGGCATTTTGCTAATGCTGAGCACAGAGGTGAAAGACGCATCACCACTGTATAAGGCACACAGCTCAGTGGATAGTTAACCCAGAGGTCAGGGAAGCATGGAGAGCCCCGCACTGCTCCCCTGGCCTGGAAGGGAGAAGCAGTAAGAGAAGTCTTCCTGAAGGAGCTGATGCTTGAACTTGGCCTTGAGGCATGAGTAGGAGAGTCAGCCAGCCGGGCAGGGCTGGAAACCCCGGAGGGCAATGGGCATAAGAGCAAGGTGTAGCTAGGGACTGCCCTCATTTTAAATGACCACAGACAAAGCATTAATGTTGCAAAGCAATAGAACGTCGTGATCAAATGATGGCTACAGAGATTCTAAAGCAACATGGAAAACATTTATGAAATAATGTTAAGCAATCTATTATATATGGACTCTAAGTAGAACTATGCAAAACATACACATATGGGAAAAGACAAGAAATACACCAAATAATAGTGTTTAGGGGTGGTAGAATTATAGATATTTTTTTTCTCTATAGTATCATTCATTTTACAGTCTAAAATTAGATACGTGTACGCACATACATGAACACACATTTCAAAGAAAGTCAATATGAAAAAGCACAGTACCTTTGCTGTGTTCTCTGAGCTTTCTGTAGTTGAGGGACAGCTGTCAAAATCCCCTGAGAGGGCATCAATGGGGTCTTGGTCATCTGCAGTTTTCTGAGATATTAATAGAAATAACCATCAGTGAAGAAGCACAGGCAAAAATCCTACAGAGGACAGTTTCCGATATCACTGAAAATAAAAGACGTCTATAAAGAAAAAACTTGCTACATTCTTTTCCTAACAAACTAATATATTGCGAAGGAGATTATAAGACAATCTTCACTGCTTTATTTTCTTCTACTCTTTTATACAAGTTGAAGTCTAAAGGAGACATAACACATACACACACTCTCACGTTACACCTTGACATCATACCAAGCACAGGGTAGGCACTCAATAAATGTTAGATTTCTAAAATGTAGACGTTGCAGCTAGAATAAAAAAAAATTAGTGGGAACATGCAGCTGTGGTGTTTACCTTTGATTCCCCAGGTTTCTTTTCGGGTGGCTTCACTGGTTTGCCCTTGAAAACAAAGCAGACAACTGATTAAACAAATCTTTGTAAAGGTTTACTTAGGTGTAGTCAGTATTGATATAATCCATATCCAATGACCTCGCTTGGATCAAATGGAGTATAGATTTGCAATAACTGATAAACCTGGGTCCCTACTATTTCTCCACCCGTTTTGCTTAACTCCTTCCCTATAACTCTATTTCAATAGACTTGGGGAAAATGCAAGAGTGAAAGGCTGGGTCCTGGAAGTGAAAGAAACACTAATTATTTAGGAACTTCCTGCCGCCATGTATTATAATTCTACTTAAAAATTTACAAACAGTAACATGTTTTTATGTCTTATTTACTTAGCTTATTACACTTCGGAAGGAGTTGAGGCATTGGAATGGTCTATAGATACTAGATTTTTTTCAGTCAGGATTATAAGTACAACTCATCAGGAATTTTCCCATCTACAAAGGGAAGGGCATTAAATAATACATCTCCCAGAGAAGACAAGCAGGGTCACGTGGTACTACCAAAGCAGGGAGGATTCTAGCAGGATGGAGATTTGCTGTCTGGAGGAATACTGAACACACGCAAGGAGAAGTGATTCCTGTAAGAGGAGACACTGAAGCAGATAACACTCTTTAAACCAGGGAGTCATCAAACCCACCAGATGAATCAGTACAGAAAAAGAAGGACGTAATTTAGGCTTCTTTGTTCTTATTTGATGAACAGGCCTGCAAAGGCTTATTTATCATCTCATTGACTTGCAACTCAAGAGTCAAAAAGGAAGGGGTCGGGTACAGGCCAAGTTGACCTAAGAAACAGTGGCTTCCATGTTAGAGACAAGAGGCCAGAGACTTCTTTCTAGATCTAAGTACAGAAATAGAACTTGTGATTGGGAATATGGTTTTGCCTGTCTTTAATCTTAACAGGCCTGTGGTGGTGCAGGAGGAGGAAAGGGAGACCCCAGGTCTTGGAGGTGCCTTATTTATTTGCCCTATTAATTATTCCAATACTAGCTCCTTTTCTCTTCTCCTTGAACAGAGAGACTCTGCTTCAGTCAGGATTACAAATATCATTCTTTTTCATAGCCTTTTCTTGCAAAGAGAATTCATCTGTGTACAGGCTTTGGAATGACTGTTAAGCATCAGCAAGTGACTGAATATTATTCACCTCTATTTACCCCATAGGTGCCCAGCACAGTAAACATCAAACGACACTGGTTCAAATAAATATTAAACAGAATCCCACACAGCCTGCTCATCAGGGATATATTAAATCAGTCAGTCAAGTTACATTTCAATGCTACTGTTCAAGTGCACCTCCTGTTCATTGCAAGTGAGGTTTACATTTAAAAAGCTTTGGAGTATATATCCAGTTGACATTTGCCTTCATGTACCTCATCATTTTTATCCAAGAGGTGTCTATACTCAGGTGGGATCGTGTCATCTCTTTCTCCCAGCTTGTCTCTATGTTCAGCTTTAACTTTTTCCTATAAACATTGGAAAACAGAATTAATACTAATTTCCTCTTCCACTAAGAGAAGACACTCTAAGATGCAGCATTCAGCTGCAACTCATTATACTTTGCTGAGACAAAACATAATGGTCTGTTTTTATTTTTTAAGCAACAGAAAACAGATGACTTCAATAGACTATTAGTTGATAAAAAAAGTAAACACATGTGCTTCCTTATGTCAATCCACATCTGTCAATTTTCTACCTGTATTTTCAATTGAAATAAATGATTAAATAGTTATCCTCAGAAACCATGTGAGGAAATAAAACCAAGGGCACAAAATTTTTTTTATGTGAGTTTCACTTTTCAAATAAAAAATCTAGTTCCTGTGGCCAGCCTGGTGGCATAGTGGTTAAGTTCGCACGCTCCGCTTTGGCAGCCCAGGGTTCATGGGTTTGGATCCCAGGCACAGACCTGTACACCACTGGTCAAACCATGCTGTGGTGGCATCCCATGTGAAAAATAGAGGAAGATTGGCATAGACGTTAGCTCAGCGACAATCTTCCTCAAGCAAAAAGAGGAAGATGGGCAACAGATGTTAACTCAGGGCCAATCTTCCTCACCAAAAAACAAGTTACTGTACCTTGGCATTTGAGAGCTAATATTTACCACTGTGACTATTAATAAGCAACCCTGAAAGACCAGGACAAGCAGCAAATCTGAATGGACATGCTGACCGCTTGTGTTGGAGGTGAAGGTGACCTGCTGTTGAGTAAGCAACACCGACCTCCCAGCATCCCCACCTCAGTGGGCTGTGGCTGCTCTCCCCATCACAGACTCAGTAACACTCACTGCCCTCCCCTTGGGAGGGTACAGATTTTATTTTCCTGCATCATCATAATTTCATTTTTCAAATATATGTTAAGTTCACATCAATATTCCTATGAAAATGACAGAATCAAGACCAAAGGATTTTTGCAATGCCCTGTCTTTGGGACATCAATTTGGCTGGTCAGTTACTTCCTTGTTCCACGCTAAACAGATTGTAAACTATTGTATATTGTTAAGTATAAACAGGTACCCATACATGTTGTATAAAGGTAGAGTTAACAGGTTGTGCCTGTAGACACACCTCGGCACAGTTCTCAACTCCTGGTCCAGTGCTCTCTTCCTTTAGGAGTTTGCACACAGTTAGTGATGGTGGCAGAGAAGGCTGCTAGGGAAACTTCTGCCAAATAGGTGACCTCTGCCACTACACATACAGAACAGGTCAACCTAAAAAATGCACATCCACGTGTCTCTGATACATGATGTCTCTACTACCAGATAAAACCAGGAAAAGTTAATGCGGGAAGAGAATAAAATTAACAAAGCAGAGCTGTGCTTTTCCATCTTAACAAAGTCTAGTCTCACAAACAGGACATTTGCCTGAATCTGTGCCACAACATAGTCCTCCCTGCGGAAAAGAAGAAACGCAATATAGACCACAGAGAAGGAAAAAATGAGACTGCGGTTATCTGACTGTTCACTAACTCCAGACAAAGTCAGAGTGGTTTTTGCCGTGTGTGTGGAGAGTAGGCTGTTCCATACTATACAAATCTTACATTTCACTTATTTTTTTCTTTTACCTTGACTTTATCCTCTACTGGTTTGTTCTCATCGGGATCAGGCTGCCTCTGCCCTAAACTGTCAGAAAGTTGATCCAAGGCATCATCGAGTTCTTTGTTGTCACTCTGCTAAAAAGTAAATCTGAATTAGTCACTGGCTGGCCAAATCAGGTCACCTGTTGGAGCATGGCCCCGACACTGCCACTCAGACTTCCACAGGCTCTGGGGTTTTCACCAGGGAGATGGCAGGGCAGGTGGAAGGTGCTGGACCCACGACCCTCGGCTGGTGCTCCTTCTCCCTGACCCTTCATTCTCAGCACTAGTCTGCACCTGCCTACCCCTGCCCCGCCCCAGATGTCTTCCTCTTCCAAGAAAACAAGTCCCTCCTGAAAAGATGGGGCTCCTGGCCTGATTTTCCAGAAAAGAGGTCTTACGATGCTTTCAGTGTATGAGGCACTGCTGGTGACAGTCAAAGGTCCCTGGCAAAGAAAACTCACACGCATTATGATGGCTTAGTTTACTCTTTGATTCCCAAGTATATTCATTTAAATAACGTTTTGTACCTAGTTTTAGTGATGTCTTCAAATAAAATATTAAACAAAACTAGACTCTGATGGGAAAGATGTCATTTTACTTGTGAAAGGCAAAAAGGCTTTTGATTCTGGATGTTTACTAATAGCCTCAATCAGGGCAGAACCTCCGACCTGAGTATTAAAAACTGAAGCGTAAACGGCAGCCTGGGTTATTAACGATTCTTCCTTTCTGTTGCCCAGGGACTTTCATCATGGTGGGTGTGTAACACATACACACACACACAGAACATTTTATTGGTTTTAAGTGCTTCATGAGAGCCCAGGATTATAGCTGCTAACGGTGGAGGTATCCACAGCTGAGTCTGGGCTTCATCATTTGTGCCTCTGGATGTTTTCAGACGATCCCGAGGCTGACCCAACAGGATGAGAGCTCATTCAGAATCTCGAGCACAGCACTAAGTAAGCTTTGATGCTACATCAAAAGGAAAGGAAGCATAACTGACTTCACTGAGCTCCTTCATCTCCATCTAGCAAACGAGGCACTTGTTCTCAACCAAAGGAGATGGGGATCTGGTTTAGGGCAATCTCTATCTTTTGATGTGCGTGGTCTCCTTGATAATATATAATTTGGTACTGCACACAAAATTAATCAAGGAAGTCTGGAAAAGCTTTGGTCCCACAGTCTTGCCTCAGAACATGCAAATAATTAAAACAATATTGATGCTGAGGTTTTTCTATTGGTGGCATGAAAATCACAAATTTTTACTGGTGTGAATGAGAGGAAAATAATGCAATTCCATGACATGTTTGTGAATTCTTTGGGGCGAGAAGCTCAAACACTGAGCAATTCCATAAAATAAACTTGAGGTTAAATAATGCATAGTATTTACAGCATGTGTCAGGAAAAATAGATAGGAGAAGAAAAATAATTATCAAGAAAGCTCAAGAATTTTAAAAGTCTAATAATTCAAACACATACACATGCACATTATTGCACTTTCAATTCTTCTAACAAAGCAACAATAACGTTAGGCTCCTCAACTGTGTGTAAAATACTTTCGCATACATTGTTTCATTTAATCATTCTGATATTCTCTGTCATCTCCCTAAATAGCCAGTCTTATCGCTTCTGAAACAGAAAGCACCCAATCTTCCTAACAATTTTACCTCTTTTCATTTAGTCTAAGCAAAAGTACTAGTTTCTTTCTTCTTCTTCTTGCTGCTGCGACAACAAATGTTTCCAAGATATGTTGCTTACCAGAGCGTCAGGGGGTGGACGCGCAGCATGGGTGGTTGGAGCTGGGGTTTGGGAAACCACTTCAGAGATGACAGCTGAGAGTTTAGCATCTTCAAATTGCTTTTGCTAAAAAAAAAAAAAAAAAGGTTACTTTGATCAGTAATATGTTGAATACAAAATTATGCCCACAATGTCATTACTTCAATACAACTCTGAATATAGCTATCTGATTGTTTATTCTCTTGATGCAAATGGACACACAGTAACACAATCTTAAGAGCAATTTATACTTGACTTCCTATTCCACTGTGCTATTTTACACCATTTCCTATTTCTTATTCCTATTTATTATTATAAATGTTGTTCAATAATAACAACTTCGAGTTTCAAGGTTTGTTCACACATTTCTTATACAGTTAGGCTGTTTGCAGTTTTTCAGCTTTCTTGTTTGAAATTAGTCGCTCTAAGGTCTAGAAGTCACTCTAAGTTCTTTTCACGGTGCTAGCTATTTCCGCCAAACTGCCTCATACTGCTAAAGGCAATGAACGAGCATGCCTGTTTCCCATGGCCTTTCTGGGCTAACTTAGGTATTTATCACATATTTTCAATTCTTATAATTTATTAGGTATAAAATGATGTACTACTGTTGCTTTAATACTTGGTATACAGTATGAGGTTTCTTTTATTATTTTTTCTTAATGTTAAATAGTATATTATGCCAGAATCTCTCAGAAATAATGATTTCTCTGACTTTAAAAATATACTAAATCTGTCATTTTGTTCACATCTTGATTTTTTTCCATTGACCTGTGGCTTTGCTTCCTGACTCAGAACTGTATTTTTTATCATTATTGTATAGCAGATCCAAGTGTTCAGTTGGGTTAATCTTCCCTAAAAATACTGAAAAATGTTTTTCAATATTTAGTAAAAATGCTAAATACTATAAAAAAAGCATTTTTCAGTATTTGTATGCATTTATTTTTCAAATATATTTCAGAGTAAATTTTTATTGAGTTATATAAAGTACCTTATTGACTTTTTTTTTTTTTTTTTTTTGCTGAGGAAGATTTGCCCTGAGCTAACATCTGTGCCAATCTTCCTCTATTTTGTAGACGGGTTGCCGCCACAGCATTGCTGATCAGTGGTGTAGGTGCATGCCTGGGATCCGAATTGGGGCTGCCAAAGTGGAGCGTGCCAAGCTTAACCACTAGACCACACAGCTGGGCCCTCCTTATTGATATTTTAATAAAAAAATTGACTTATAAAATGACTGGAAACAATCATCATCATTCTTTTAAGACATTTAGTCAAACTGTTTTAGATGTAGGCTTTGTGTTCTTATTTTTCTATTCATTTCTTCTACTGCAGTTTTGTTTACATAAGCCTGACATCTCAGATAATCATGTTTTCTGTTACTAATAATATACATAGCATACATAATGTTACCTACAAATGTGTTGTACAATTATAGATATCTACAAATACACACAAATATTCCTTTAATGTTTGTCATTTCTTTTTCACACGTTTTTAATGATTCTTCCATACAACATTAAGCAGAAATGACAATAAAATAAACTTTTCATACTTTTTGTTTTTTAAGGGAAATGCCTCTAGATAAATACTATTTTTCTTGAAATTAAATTGATGCTCTTTAACACATTAAAGGATTATCTACTTTTTAAAGATTTTTATTTAGAATATGAATGTATGTAAAGCTTGAAATACATCTTTTATATGGACATTATTTGATATGCTACTCTGCTATGTTGATTATTTTCCTGCTATTGAATGTTTAATTTCTGACAATGGCAAACAATTACTCTAATCATTTTATATTCCATTTGTTAATAATTTTACATCTATAGATTTAAGTGACCTTAGCACCATCATTACTTGTAGAAACAACCATCGTAGGCCATCTTCTGCAGGACACATTCATGTCACGTGGGAATGATCTGGGTGTCAAACATTTAAGAGTCAATTTTAAAATTCTGTTGCAAGGAAAGTTTGAGAACAGTTCTAATCTCTTCAGTTTTTCTTTTGCTTATGTTCTGTGAATTTTATGTTTTATATTTTTGTTTAAAAATTTCTTAGAAAATTATTGCCCATAGTGTTTCTTTATAATTTAGTCACTCTCTTGGACTGATGAGATCTTTCTCACTTTAAAGCTAAATTTTATTTTATTTGTAAGACTTTTTTCTCTATTATATCTGCCAATGTTTCATAAAATATTAGACATTCACAAAAACCAACTGTTGGCTTTGAACTATTAATAGTTTATTTGATCCTTACATTGATTATTGTTCTCATTTTAAAATTTAATTATATTTGTAAGGTTTTTCTCTTTCATATTTGTCAGTATTTTATAAAGTGTTAGTTATTTCAAAAGAAACAACTGTTGGCCAGTTAACTCTCAGGCTGCTAATTTTCTCTCCTACTACACTTATTGCTCCTTTCTTTTGGGTGGTTACTTTATAATAGCTTATTTAAACTTAAAATAAAAGATTATTTATAATACATAGTATTAGCTCTATAATGGCTTTATAATAGCTTATCTAAATTCAAAATTTAAAATCCAATAAACATTTGGTTAATCAACTCTCTTTCTCTATTATTGATGAAGGCATTTATGACAATAAATGTATCTCATGAATTCTTCTTTGGCTGCTTATCAAAGATTTTGATTTGTAATGTCTTATCCTTGATTTTTAAAATAGTCTATTGTGAATTTACTTCTTGATTTCAGTACTATTAGAATATTTTTAAATTTCTCTTTTTAAATAAAATGTTTCATTTTATTGTGATCAAAGCACATGGCATGCACAGTAACCTCTCTCTTATATTTGAACATTAATTATGAGTCAGCATATGATACTTCTCCCACAAAGTTCTTGGGACTGTCTCCTAGAAATAATTTTCTATTTTGACCATTGACCTTTACCATAATTGGTTATTTCTACTTTATTAACTAAATTGTTGTCACTAACAAATTCTTTCCTTTGCTAGATTTGTTCATTTTCTAAGAGTGGGATTTTAAAAAAATGGTTGTTTTAGGGCCAGCCTGGTGGTGCAGCAGTTAAGTTCGCATGTTCCGCTTCAGCGGCCTGGGGCTTGCCTGTTTGGATCCCGGGTGCAGACACGGCACCGCTTGGCAAGCCATGCTATGGCAGGCATCCCACATATAAAGTAGAGGAGGATGGGCATGGATGTGAGCTCAGGGCCGGTCTTGTTCAGCAAAAAAGAGGAGGATTGGCAGCGGATGTTAGCTCAGGGCTAATCTTCCTCAAAAAATAAATAAATAAATAAATAAAACAAAGTAGAGGAAGATGGGCACAGGTGTTAGCTCAGGGCCAGTCTTCCTCAGCAAAAAGAGGAGGATTGGCAGCAGACGTTAGCTCAGGGCTAATCATCCTCAAAAAAAAAAAAAGGGTTGTTTTATCTCTAATCATTTCACTGCTATACATCTTCTTGGGGAGGAGGGCATATAAATTCACTGTTACATTTTCTTTGAATTTCTAAAATTAAAAGACCCTAACTATTGTAATAATAATAAAGACAGGAGGAGGAAGGGAATTAAGGCATTGATTCCCCCACAATTTGTTCAGATGTTCTGCATCATTGTAATGATGATTCCACATTCCTGAGATACTTCTAACTCTGTATTCTTCTCTAAATCAGGGCTGGGGTGCCTCCTGTCAGGGTCTGCTTGTATGGAGGAGGATAAGAGGAAGGTCCTGGAACAGGGTGACTGAACTGCCTGGGCGTGGTGTTTTCATATGAGTGTAGTGAGGAGCATGCACTGGTTAGTAATCCCTTCTTTGAAGGGTTTATTGTTTCAATAAAAGCAAAAACTTCAGGCAACTCCACGGAATCATTTCTTCTAGTTGTCACTCATTCTCTTTCTCAACTGACACGTTTTCCATGCCACTGTCCACACAGAAACCCTGTAAATAGATAACCCAAACCCCACAAATAAAGGTGCTGCAGTTATATAAGTTTAGGAACTCTAACAGACTTACAATATGTGTGCACATAAAAAAACCAGAAAAATCCTCAGTTATAAACCTGCTTACCATTATTCAACATTTCCCAAACTTTCTAGTAACAGAATTCCCCTTGAGGGCTATCTATTCCAACATGGAGATATGTTTCTCTGGAAGGCAATTTGGAAAACGATGACTTGCAGAAATAAACAGGTAAAGTTTTCTAAGAGGTAACTTTAGATAAACTCAATTTTAAATTCTCTTTTCGTAGCTGTGCTGGATACAGTACATGCTCACTGGATTAGCTACACTGTTGAAAACATCCGCTATGCAGGAATAATATTCCATGAGGAGACATATTTTTAATGGCTACGATGGGTTAAGGGCCATTAATTTTGTGATTGTTTCCTCAGTTCCCAAGTCAGATTCTAAGTCGCAAATTTCCGTGTATTTCTGCCACTCTAAAAGTAAGGAAATAAAGAGGAGTGTCAGACTTACAAGAGATGAAGTGTCCTGGGGACCAGCGAAGTCCTCAGATAAAGCATCAAGAAGGAAGTCATCACTCAAGGGCTGCAAGAACCAGGAAATGTATCAACAAACACCATCTCATTGGTCTCCTCTTCAAAATGTCACTGTTTATATGCTCATCAATTGATTGAAAAGAAAGCTATGCCCTTCCTGAATTAACAATCAGGGCCAACTGAGACAGACTCAGAGAAAACTGGCTTGCTTACCGGAAGTGATTCCTTGGGGTCTTTGTGCAGGAGTGGTTTTCCATCTTTATCCTATCCAGGGGCGGAAACACACAGCATTGAAATCATTTCACATTTATCCTGCATGTGAACTCTTGTAAACATTGTAAGAGGCTGACAGCTTATACTTGACGTTGTTGTACACAACAAATTAGATTCATCATTAGACTCTCTCACCAGAGGATATGCTCTAATTAGGTCATGTCAACAAACAGCCCACATACGTCAGGCCTTCCCTAGGCACAGGGGCTGCACCACAGACTGGGCGTGGCTTGTGACCTCAGAAGCCCACAAACTAGTGCAGGAGAAAAACATGAGAACAGTTAATGTAGTGTGGCATGTGTGTTGTGACGGGGCACTCGGGGACACTGTGGGAGCACGGGATGAGCCCCTCACCTGCCTGGGGGTTGGGATTTGCAGAAGCGGCCTAGAAAAAGCTGGTTTACTCTATAGGCAATACATACAAATAATATGCTTTGATTCTGCGCCAAGCCCTGTATGGAGGCACTGGGGACACCACAGAAACTAGGACAGACAGTCTCCGCCCTCAGCGAGCTCCCCTGGGGTGAAACTTAGGGCTTGGATGATGCCAAGCTTCAAATGCCTCTCAGTGCCACTTCTGAGTAACAGGACAAAAATCAGTAAAGCATTTGGGGCTCTTTAGTAAAAGAAGATTTATAAATAAAAGGTAAATCCCATTTATTCACATACACAAAAATAAATAACTGCAAAGCTATGTATATAAAGCTATGTATATATGATTTTTCCTGATAAACTGGTCATGGTGGTTTTCTGTTTGTTTATGTAAAATGAGAGGAGGTGCAATGGTTGAGAATATCACCGCTTCCCCTGACTGACATAAACTCCTTGACCCCCCTTCCATCTCTGCAGGTTTGCTTGTGCCTTCTGACAATTCCTCAGTTAGGAGGGAAAACAGAGCCTGGGCATGTTCTCAACCATCCCTTAGCTGCAGTGGCAGCAAATTTCCCAAGTGACACATGGGACCGTGGGGGGCACATGTGCTCCACACTCAGACTGAAATCACTTAGCCTTTCAGAGCCTCGGCTGAGATGAAAGACAGGGCCCCTGCCACCTTCAAGTCTAGTGTGGACGATATTAGTGGACTAAGTATTTGGTATTTGAAATATTAAGAAACAAGATCTCTATATTCCAGGTCTATTTCCATGTCCCTTCCTTATGCATACGAAATTCAGTATGGATTAAAATAAAACAGAAAAAGACCCCAGCCTGTTTACCTTGACCTCTTCTAATCTGTAATCAGGAGGAATCGTTTCTTCTTTTTCACCAAGTTTTTCACGATCCTCTTCTTTGGATTTTTCCTGAATAAAAATTATACCATTTTCATTGTTAATACATCTTTTCCCATAAAGGAGATGCCTGAGTGACTAAATTTGAGGTAAATAAACCCATCATCGGGTTAGTATGTGCACATGGCTGGATGTGTAGAATTCGTACAGGAACACAATCTTTAACACTGTATCTTACTGTAGCAGGCCCAGACACCACCACTAAGCCTTCTGGGCTTAAAGGCAGGCGTGAGGAGCTGTAGAGGCAGCTGCCGCTTCTCTCCTGACCTCAGCAATGGGAATGCAGGTGGACAAAGGTGCGAGTCCAAGAACTTGGACAGGTGCATGCTGTCCATCCACTTAAACACTGGTGCTTAAACACTAATGCTCATACACGTTTAGTTTATCAATCAGGATGTGCACAGTAACAGAGAAAGCCAGCTGGTCATGCGTTGTGGGAAATATTTTTTTAAAATGACTGATTTATTTGGGAGTGAGGGCGATCAACGATAGTCCCTTTCTACAAGTACCTGAGCTGCCATTACCTTGACTTGATCCTCCACAGGCTTTCCACCTTCTGGATCCGCCTCCTTTTTCCCCAGGCTACCAGCCAAAGCTTCTACAGCATCATCTGGCACCGTGCCCTTCTTAAAACACATTAGTGGATATACTAAGTAGGTAGTTAATCACTCCTTTTAAAAGAGATTGCATCAAGTAAGTCAGAAAGGCATATCCTTATGTTAGGCCTAGATAAGAAGTACATGTCATCTTTTAATAATTTGAATTATCAGTTGAATTAGAATCTATGTTTAAGAAATCTAAAATGTTAAAAATGAGAGCAAGTTTCTTGTATTAAACATTAAGTGTGTGCCACGTATATTAACACCAAGAAACTTCAGAGATTTAATGCAGCATTTTGGCTTGGAAATCAGGAAGACAATGGCATGGGTAGACCACAGAGAAGTTGAGGGCCAGGAAAGAAGAAAGAAGTGATCTTTATGGTGATTGTTCTAGAGAGGGCACAGGAAAGATTTTCAGAGAGGCCACAAGAGGACATTCTTCCCAATGTTCTGCGTAATAGCCTGGCCCGTCCCAGAGGCAGCGGCGGCTCAGTGTGAGTATCTACTGAGGCACAGAAGCTTCTCTACGTGGCTTCTACTGGTCAAAGTGGGTTCACACTGATTCAGGGGACTGTGGCTTGTGGCTAACTAACCTGAGTCACGCAATGAGAACCATCTACCTGTGGTCTGGTTGTTCAAAATGAAATGTGCTCCCTCATGATGTACTGAGCTCCAGCCACGCTGGTATTTAAAATTAAACCAGATGAACACAGAGCATAAATGGTACAAAAGGAAAATAAAGGATAAACTATGTTTGGGCTAAAAGATAGGGCTAGATCTGGCTTCTTCCAAACTACAGGTCATGATCCATACATTAGTGACTCATAAAATCAATTTAATAGTACATGGCCAGGACTTTTTTTTTTAATGAAAGAACAGAAAACAGAATGCATCATACCTAACAAGGATAAGTACCATTCATTAAACTGTTGTTTCTACTGCATGGGTACTGGGTTGCAATATCAGTCAATTTCCTACTGTTGGTCTTGGTCAACAGTATCTCAAAGTTTATTCTTATCATAAAAGTCTATGACCTCACGTGGAGTACATGTTGGAATTTTAAAGTAAAAGGGTCTTTCTGGTTTATATAACTTAGCCATCACTCTAAGTAAGAGAAGTTTTTCTGCTAAGCTGTGCTGCAAAAGGAGAGATCACGTGAGGAAAGGGAAGCTGGGTGGAAAGTGATTTGTCACCATCTAGTGGTTGGACTCTGCATAGATTTTATTTCCAGGGGCAACAAAACTCCCTGATGTATCTAACCTGTCTGGGATTTTATCTCAAGTGCAATAGCTGCAGTGGTAACCAAGTCTTAGCCAAGCAATCTGAGTTGCTACCCGATCTGAGTCATCTGCTCACACTTTACTCCAGTTTTCTCCTAGTCTGTGCTGTAAAATCTTTGGAAACTACTGTTTCCAAAGCCTGTGCCCTGTGGCCTTAAGAAATAAGCGAAACAGAGGTAGAAAAGCTAGGAGACACAGCAGTCTTAAGAATTAAGGAATCTGGAAATAGGACTAAGGACCGAAATTTCTATTTCTGTAGTATTTCATGTTGTCAAATTCAGAACTAGAACTTAGGTCTCTGGATTTGCTCAAACTTTCCTTTTAGACAAACTAGAACCACGCAGAGCACACATTCCTCTCCCTCCTCTGCTCTGTTTCCCTTTGCTCAAGAATCCTCAAGCCCTTCCTAAGTCCTCTGAACTTTATCATACTCCGCAGCTATTCTCTCTGGCTCCCACGGATGTCACAATCCCAGAAATACCAACTAACCTCAGCGATGGTAATCTTGGCAACCGTGGTAACCAGTTGGCGGAGCAGAGGTGCAGGAGAGGAGGTGAGAGAAAGGAAACATAAGAGCTCTTTCTTTTTCTGTCCACTAAAAATCCAATGCTCGACTCTCTACAGTCAAGGTAAAGTTGGAAAGGGACTAACTGAGCCCTCCAAGGCCCTGGCAGTCACACTTGGCAGGAGAGGTACATGACACACATTTAGGTCACAAGAGTTCTGCCCTGGAATGCAGGCCATTGTCTTTTTGATTCTAATCACTGCCTCTGTTCCTACTTGCTTCACCAGTTTGTTCCCAGATTCTCTCCTCCTCTCCTGTTCTTTACCACTGTGGCCTGTGGCCTAGTTGCCACAATGTAAAAGTTTCTGGAGAGTATCCTGAGACCTCAAAAAAAAAAGGGGGGGGGTCAAGTCCTGCTTAGGACAGGACAGAGACCCTGGACTTTGAGGAGATTTGCAATTGGCACCAAGGACTTTCTTGGCAGGAAGCAGCCACTCTCGGGCACCAAGAATACTTGTCCTATACCTTCTTCAAGGCCCCCTTTTTTAAAACCATTAAATGCACCTATCCCAAGCACACCAAGTGTACACTCTGTGCTGGCCTGTGCTCGGTTCACTGGTCTGCCCAGGAAAGCGGTGCTACTCTCACCTCTCACTGTGACCCTGTCCTCCCTGCAAGTCTTTCCTAGTTCCTCCTGCAGAGGCTCCTTTCCGCATGTTCCCAGTGCCCTTTTTCCATATGAGAATGATCAAATTGTCCTGTAAGCTTGAGCTCGGGCCCGCACCCACACTAGACTCGAAAGTAGCAGGGGCCATGTTTCATCTCACCCAAGGCTCTGAAAGGGTAAGTGGGTTGCTCAAGGTCATCTCAAAGCTTCATTTACCCCATCTATCATAAAGAGATGATCAGACAGACTTCACAGGGTCCTTGTGAAAATTTGACGAGAAGATATTGCAAAGCATCTAGAATAATTAGCTTTCAGAGTGTGGCTTCACTAAGTCTATAGTAAGGAAATATAGTTTCATCAGCTACTATCTTGAGTCAGATTCTATCTGCCAATAGAAACAAAACCCACAAAATTCAAAAGGAAACCAAGATTCAACTAGTTAAATATCATACCCCATACAAAATTTAGAGAGTGAAAGAGGGACAAGAAAAGAAGGAAATGGAAAGGAATTGAGTCCCTCTGTCCTCCCTTCAGTTGGGAGTGGGGAGGACTCATTATGGTGTTGGTGCAGATTATTCCACCAGGAGAGTCAACGAAAGGTAACATCAGGCTGTTTGTGGAACTCCAAACAGACTTGAAAAACGCAGGAAACTGAAAAAGCATGATTATCCACAATAGCTGAGGAAGTAGAAAGAATTTCAGAAGGTGAAAGAAACACACAGCTTGCAGCAGTTTGAAAATTTAAATCTAGTCTGAATTTCTAGCACACCCTTGAAGCCCAAAGGACAGGAGATATTATAACTATTTAAGACTTTATTTTTATTTTGTCAGAATAAAATAATATGATGGGAATACACGGTCGAACGTGCATGGGAGGAAACACATTACCTTCTCAATGCCCAGAGGATCACTCACCACGGTAGCTGGCTTGGGTGGTGCCGACTGTACACTACACATGGAGGTCTGAGACACAGCCTCTCCCACAGGAGCCGGGGCCGCAGCCCGCGATTCCTGCAAATAGAAACAGGTCTGATGAAGAATTTTTAGAAATACCTGGTTAGTAAGACTGAAAAACGATGGATCAACAATACACTCTGCTCTGTCATTTGCTATGAGCATGATCTGCTTGAATGCCTAAGGATTGTTGAGTAGTAAATAAGCCAAGATGTTAAAACTCTTCTGCTACCATTATTTCAACTAGGTTTTACCTCTTACCTCGGGTAGGTTACTTAACCTCTCTGAGACTCAGTTTCCACATCTGTAAAATGAGAACAATGATAGTACCTACATCTCAAGGGTTGCCATGGGGCTTTAAAGAGATAAAACATGTGAAGTTCTTTGCAGGGTACCTGGGAACACAGTAAGCTCGATAAATTTTAGCAACCATTATTATTTATATTATTTATTTTTCATATAATACGTAACAATAAAATAATATCCCAATTATATAATGAAATATTTTTTACATAAGTACATCATTTTTATATATCTGTCTAAGAGCACCTTGTAAATTGTAAATAGCTACGTACAAATGCAAGGTGAGTAATGCTATCCCAGGGGTTCTCAAAGTGTGGTCCCTAGACCACCAACCTCAGCATTACCAGGGGACTTGTTCGAAATGCAAACTCTTGGACCTCCCCCCACACCAACATACTAAATCAGGAATTCTGGAGGTGGGGCCCAGCAACCTGTGTTTGAACAAACCCTCAGGTGATCTTAACGGATGCTAAAGTTTGAGATCCACTGTGCTACTTTATCACAAGAGAAAAATTTAAAACAAACTGCTTTTAACCCATACATTTACGAAAGCCTATCCTACATGCAAGATGCTCCGTAGATGATCATGAACAGAGTATGAGGTCTTTCAAGGAAATTATTATCTATTTAAAATTCTGTATAAATGTTAGAGGTGAAGACCAACACAGCCAAAACTTTGTTGGTAACTAACGCCTTAACAGGAATGTATAAAGAAAGAATGACAGACCCCCTGTCATGTTGTATTCTTAAGAGCTGGAAGGCTGGTAAGGTTTGGGGAGGGAAAAGCAAGAGATGAAGGCCATATATTTTAGCAGAGCTTTAAAGGATGAATAAGATTTTAGTTGATCTACAATTAGGATGGGAAGTTATTCTAGACAGCAGGAACCACATGAAAACAGCCATGGAGACACTCAAGCACTTATTGTCAGAGTTTAGTGACACGGGGACACACCTTGGTAGGAAAGGAAGCTGGGGCCAGGAGACATTAGCAGGAACTTTACTTTGTAGGGACTAGGAAGCTCCTGAGAGTTGGAGCAGGGTAATGATGGGAAAGGGCTTGGGACAGAATCATCCTGGTGGATGTAAAGCAAGGACTGGAAAGAGACTGAAGACAGACGCCACTGCCATCTGGAGGTGAGTGGCGATGACAACTTTCACTGTCAGCTACAGAAGCACGAGTAGAAAGGAAAGCCTGGGTGTGAATGCTTTCCTGAAGGGAGAACCACAGGACTTAAACTACAAGAATGTCACGGTCAGCTTGGGGAGGACAGCACATCCAGAAAAAGGCAAGATGAAAACTGCATGTAAACCAAGATGGCACAATGAGCCTTTTATCAACCACTTCATGCTAAAATAATTTTGGTCTCACATTTTTAAGATTATAGAAAAACATAAGAAAACAACCCAAACTAGAGACTTTTATTTCTAGAAAGATACCTTTGTTTTTTCAGCTGGCTTCAATTGCTTTTCTTTGCGTTTAGACTGGTCAAAATCTTCCGAAAGTTCATCAATGAGTTCTGATTCACTCAGGGGCTGTAACACAAGAAACACTGTATACGATGAAGTGCTTATTTTTACTTTGTCAAAAAAAGCTTTCATAGAGAAAATTTGTTTTCTGGTTACCACATGTTAGGTCATATTTTAGGATCTAAAACCAAAAGCTAATTTATATAGGGCATATTTTTCATTTATCAATGTAAGAGAAACGTCACACAACAAATAAGGAATACTAAACACCTCAGTACCACAAAAATGTTAACGGTTTATTTAGTCTAGAGTTTTCTTGATTCCTCAATTCCAGAGTAATTTTGTTCAAATAAAATTGCTTGTTCTTTCCTATGAAGATCTGTAGAGTTTTTTCTCATGCGATTGTCTTTTTCTGCTTCCTACCTAATGATTTCCCTTCTGAATAAGTCAGAGGAAACAGAGATCAGAGACTCCTTTCCTACGACTCTGTGGGGGTTTGGCAGGCAAGTTCAGCTATCCTCAGAGTTCCTTCAGGTGAAGGGGTATTACTTGTTTACTGTGACTTGTCAAAATCTCCACATGCCCTAATCTATGACAGAACGGCATGAAATTCAAGTGGAGCCCCAGAGTTGGACAGCCTGAGTTCTGAGCCCTGGCCTTGCTGTGAGGCCTTCTAGCTGTGTGACCTTGAGCTATTTACATAACCCCTCTGCCTCTCCCTAATACCAGGTTGACAGAGTCTCCACAGTGAAATCCAGTCTGTTAGAATTACCTCAAGTTTTACTTTACGGTTCTACCATTTTTAAGTATCAGAAAAAATTTTATTTGCTAACCTTGGGTTTTTCTTCAGACTCTGGCAATAGTGGTTTTCCATCTTTATCCTGTAAATGAAATTGAAAATGAAATAGAAAATTTTGCTTTCCTGTCCCATTAAGTTTGTTTTAGGGAATTCCAGGATATGAGGGGAGAGCTTGTTTTTTTTCCTTATATTTGAGTAAATTTGTATTTCAGATTTATTTTTTAGAAAGCATCAGAATAAGGAGTTGACCCATAAAAATCAAGAGACCAAAAGTTATTCGAGTATAACGCACATCTACTTTTCTTTAAAAGTTACTGATAAAATTTCTTCCATCTATTGGATAGGGAAATAGAATTTTTTAAAAAGTTCTTTGGCAAGAAAGATACGGCTACATTAGTGAAAGGTTAAAAAAAAGTCTCAATTCTCCAACCCAGGGTGGAGAGGGAGATCTCATTCCTATAACACTTTTTAGGGTTTTGGATATAAAGTTTCACAATTTAGAATATTTCTAAAAATGGGAAACTTTCCATACAGAAGCATATATAAGAATCACAACTATCTTCCATCATGTGTTTATGTGTGTTATTTCAAAGATAAATTACAAATATAATAACAGGAGTTAGTCTACCATCCTCACCTCAAACCAAAACCACCAATAACAAAACCACCTTGACTGAGGACACTGGGAAATAGTTGTACATTTCTATCTACCACTTCGAAGATCTAGGGCGCTTTTATCCATTTGGCAGTTAGAGAAAAAATTACTCGCAAACTGTTCCTTCTGCTTTAAGGTGAAGGATCTACGTCAAGCACTGTTAACAGCTGAAACACTTGAATGTATGGGAATTTTAATGACCACATGGTCACTACTTAGGAAACCATCCCGTAAAGAGTCCAGCTGTAGAGAGCAGAGAAGAAAGGGTTCAGGGTTTTCAGAGTTAATATCTCAACTGGGACAGACATGTCCTTAAGGCATCATGGACAAAACATGATATGAGGGCAAGAGGGGTGAGCTGCTGTTAGCACCGTGGCTGACAAGGTACCGTGGCTGGTTTCAATCTGTACTCCGATGGGACTGTTTCGTCATCTTCACCACACTTCTTTAGTTTCTCTTCTTTGGCTTTTGCCTGATGAAAGTGGAGGGGAAAAAGAAATAAACATTTAGATAATACATGTAGAAGATGATATACCTTTATGTACTTCATGGGTGTGGTAGAGAAGACCAAATCAGATGAAAGTGTCTGAAAAACTACTTTTTGTGGTTTACAAAGCAGAAGACCACGGCAGGCACCGTGAGGAAGACAGCATGAAGTGACCGAGAGAAACCAACAGAGGCGGGAATCCTGGGGAAGTGCCCCTGCCCTGCTCTCAGGTGCTCTATGACCTTGGGAAGCCATTTACGTCTTTCTTTGGATGGGTTTCTTCAGGTGTAAAATGGGGCTGCTAATAATTTTTACCTATGTGACTGACTCGCAAGGATCACCAGAGAAAAGTAAATAAAACACCCTTTGAGACAGTCAAGCACAGTGCAGAAATTAGCTGCAATTATTTTTACAGCCCTCACCTGTCTTATTCAACAAGGCAGTTATCTAGGGGAGAAAACAACCAGTTCTCAAGAATGTGAAACACAGTTCAGCAATGGGAGAAGCATCTCATCACAAATCTTGGCTGACCCATGGATAATCGGTTTTACCTCTTTTAAAGGACTCCCATCAATAACACCAGGACTCCACTGGATTACTGAACCATGAATAACCAGCTGCATTAGAAACATTTGTAGCTCTACGGTAGATCACTGGCTTCTAGGGTATAATATTTGCATTTTAAACTACCGGTGAGTAATGCGAAGCTCCATGATATGTAATAATATGCACCTATATCAAGGCATGGATTTAAATCACAAACCAAGGAGCTCCTGGGCACAAAGGGAGTCACTTAGCAAATTCCAGCTCAATCCACTGCTGCCATATACATCTCAGCCTAAGATTATAGTTCTCCCATTGAATGATCAGTTGATTAATTAAAAAATATTGAGAGCCAGGCACTCTTCCTGGCTTTGGAATCACAGTTTCACTGTTCTATAGAATAACAACCCTCATTAAAGGATGAAAGGGTTTTTTCCCCACATTCCCAGTTCTATTCCACAGCGGCCTATGGAGGAAGTCCTATTATGAAGTGGTACTCCCCAATTCCAAGATTTGTGAGGTCTCCACCAAGAAAACAGCCTGCATGAAAGTCAAGGGTCTCCCATATGATAAAACCGCCCTCTCCACTACACTTAGCTTATGGACAAGGAGAGTCACGTGCACAGCTAGATTCTTTCTATTCCTCTTTGATCTATATAGTCTTTAAATGCCTGCACTGTAAGCACTGAAAAACAAATGCCTACTGAATTGAAATAGCACTAGACGAGGCAATTACATAAAGAAATGGGGAAGTTCGATAACGAGGTACCATTATAGAATATTTGTGTTATGATACACTCTAAGAATGACAAGTAGTCATGGACCTCTTCTCTGAAGCGTTTGTAGCTTTTCCTCAGGATTCTCTCTAGTATGGATCGTACTGGAGTGGCTGTGGAACCCTATAGGATATCGACCTTTATGAGCCTTATCACAACATCAGACTATTATCTGGGAAGTAATGAATTCTCCATCAGGAATTCACCAGAGAACTGGAAGATCTTCTTAGGAAATATTTACACTTTGTACATAATTAAAAAGGGACAGAGGCCGGCCCGGTGGCGCAGTGGTTAAGTGTGCACATTCTGCTTCAGCAGCCCGGGGTTCGCCATTTCGGATCCTGGGTGCGGACATGGCACTGCTTGGCAAGCCATGCTGTGGTAGGTGTCCCACATATAAAGTAGAGGAAGATGGGCATGGATGTGAGCTCAGGGCCAGTCTTCCTCAGCAAAAAGAGGAGGATTGGCAGTAGATGTTAGCTCAGGGCTAATCTTCCTCAAAAAAAAAAAAGGATACTAGAGGAAAACTAAGTGGAAACTAATGGAAAGAGTGGAAAAGAATAGTTCTTTTTGTAAAAATTTTAAGAGTTTACAGCTGCTCAGGTTTTCTAGAGGAAATTTAAAACATTTATATGCATCCCCAAATTAGTCAACCCAAACTGCTTAATAAGTTATATTTATGTAATCTTTTCACATCTACTTATCTGATTTTAGTGGTTCTAAGACTCTTTTTGTCCTGGGATTTATGTTTATACCTTCCCTCCCCAAATTATCTTAAATCATCTTAAATCACCCTAATTATCTGTAAAAAGCCTGAGGGAAAGCACGATTGGCTGGCTGCCCCATAGCCCTCCGGTGGTGGAAGCATAACCCAACTTGGTCTCCTGATCCCCCAGGGTTCTGCCAGGACCACTCTTTCCTCGAGACATTTCACACATCTGGCTACTCCAAGTACTCTGCCTCTCGCATTGTGTTTTCATCAAGTTTCCTCTCTTCCCGATACATTACTTGGTCCTGAAGGACAAGGGCTGCTTCCCCTGCTCCCTTGTGTTCGCCTTCACAAAGCTTGTCACGCCATACTGTGTCCGGCGAGCCCTCAAAGAAAGCTGAAGATAGAAACTGGCCCAATGAGGACCAGGGCAGTCCCAGACTCAGGCGAGTTGCTGGGTATTACTGAGACCTTCCCCAGCAACTCAGAACAGGAAGTGACAGCAGAGGCACCAGCATTGTGACAGCGACACCTGCCAGCTCCTCTCCCTGAGCTGATAGGATGGTGGCTCTTGAAGGTCCCCAGGCTGTATTTCCATGGCCCCTCACCACACTGCCTTGTCAAGAATGTCCCTGGGGCAACTCTCTCCTTTCCTTCCTCTTTTCCCCCAGAGGACTCAGTTGAAAACTTCTTTAAAAATTGCAATTTAAAACTCTCCTCCGCCAAATACAAACTTACTGTGGCTCAGAAGGCTGGTTAAGATCTCGGAGTGCGGTGGGATAAACCTTCCCAGCAACACACTCTCACGTGCAGGAACTCCAGTGAGAGTAACTGTTGCTTGATTTTTTTATTCTAATTTGAGACAAGATTTCAACATCTTTCCCCATAGTTATAAAAAGAAGGCTCTACCCACCCCATCTACAGCCATCTCCCTCTCTCCTTATAAAGAGAAGCACCTGGAACCCTTCTGAAATTACAAATTTCCAATTTCCAAGAGAGCAGACAAACCTATTTCTCAGCAGGCCATGGCCTCCATGTTATCATGTGTAGTCAGGTGTCATTTAAGCTTTGGCAAAGGAGATGAGTGTTCACTTTATACATTAAAATTCTAGATGTTTTACAAGACAAATATTCTTCTTGATTGATAACTACCCAGCAATAAATATCTAAATTAACCAGACTCTGAAAGTAAGGCAGCATGAAGAGGAGTCCATTTTTAATCTCTGATAAAATGAAAGTTGTGCAAGATTTCTCAACAACATGTAATGCATTTAGTTTCATAACCTGCAGACTAACAGGCTTTGCATACGAACTCCAAGGTCAATACCTCGTCAACTTCCTTAAGGGAGCTGAAGTCAGGCTCAGGGTCTGGCTTCGGGCTGCCCAGCGAAGCTGAAAGAGCCTCAAGTGCTTGATCGCTTATTGCATCCTGTTAAAGAGGAAAAATACTGTACGTTAAAAAAAGAGAACATCTCCTCAGCCTAAACAATCCATCCACTTCTTTGTGCAGCACAAATTTTAAACCTATACGATGAAGCATGGATTGGGGAAGGATTTTAGGAAGGCAATTTTATTTGAAACCTAACAAAAAGAGAGAAAGAAAAAAGAACTTATTACCAGGGTGTGAAAAGGATTTTAGGAAGGCAATTTTATTTGAAACCTAACAAAAAGAGAGAAAGAAAAAAGAACTTATTACCAGAGTGTGAAAGGGGGCTGACACACCTTTCTAGAGTAACAGTGCTCTCAGTGGCACGTTGCACCCCTTATTTAAGGAAGCTAGAGGTATAATGCTAATAATAGTTATATTATTATAAAACACTCATCAAAATAAAAGCTGCAAGAAGTAAACTGTCACTATTCCATTTTTCTTTTTCTGAAACTGCATCTCTAAAAATGACTTCCGGGGCCAGCCCGGTGGTGCAGTGGTTAAGTGCACACATTCTGCTTCCATGGCCCAGGGTTCGCCGGTTCGGATCCCAGGTGCAGTCATGGCACTGTGTGGCATGCCATGCTGTAGTAGGCGTCCTACACATAAAGTAGAGGAAGATGGGCACGGATGTTAGCTCAGGACCAGTCTTCCTCAGAAAAAAGAGGAGGACTGGCAGATACTAGGCTCAGGGCTAATCTTCCTCGAAAAAAAAAAAAAAGCCTTCCGACAACTCTTGTCATTTAACAACACAGCTAAGCCGGGGGAAGCAGGGAAACGTGAAACAGCCACTGCCTTCTCCTCTGAAGGCACAAGGGCTGATGGCTGCAGGAACTCTCCCTCTCAGGGGTGTGGTGCTCACCACTGCTCCCCAGCCAGTCAGAAACAATAAACCGTCCGCTCCCGGAGCAGGAGGCAGAGCAGCTCCTGGAGAAACCGCTCCTTGCATTATCCAGACTGGTTGCACATGGGACATGCCTTCTCAACCAACCCAGAGCTGCAGGACCACTTTTCAGGATTTGTGAGAATTAAGTCACAGCTGATTGTGGTTGAAGAGAGGTGGACAGAAGCAACTACAACAACATCCCTCTAGCGACTCACTCAAACTCCTTTAGGAAATCAAGTTGAAATTTTCTGTTCCAAGAGTGGAATTTCTCTGGGTCCTGCCCACCTGCGTATTGTAATGGTGCGACAGTCTTGTTTCAGGACCAAGAAGACTGCACTGAAGTCACCCAGAAGCACGTGCAGAAACAAACCAGGCCAGCCTGGAGACATGACTACAACCCTGATGGGTTTCATTACTCCTCACAGACCCCAAAGGGAAAGATGCTCCTCATCACAGGAAATACACTACTGGGATGGGCCGAACCAGCCAAAGCAGCCTCAGGAAAGCACCTGCTGTCAGGTGGACCAGGGCTATTTTCACAGGAGTAATTATTTATACCTCTTCCACCTTTCTTTTTTTCTCTTGGGGTGGAGCAGGACTTTTGACAAACCCGGCTGACTGAGCTTTTAAAACCTCTCCTGTAGATTTCTGAAAAATAAAACACAAAAGATTAGACTTCTAGATGAGGAGAATGTAACCGTAATAGCCAGAACTAAAAAGTTGTTGTTTTAAAGTTCGAGATGGTTTTTAACAAGTCCCCCAATGATACTGAAAATAATACCTCTTCCTCAGTTTTCTGTCCACTAGCAGTAGGAGAACTACAGGTGAAGTCAGAAGCCAAGGCGTCTATGGCATCATCGGGCCCCACAGGCGTCTAAAGAAACAGGAACCATGTCGGGTAACACATAGGAGTCACTCAAGCGAAAAGTCAGATTATAGACCCAGCAAATGAAGAATGTACCTTTGCAATTCCTTTACCACCAAATGAGATATGTTAATGAAATAACAGACAAAAGCTTATGTCTGGAAGGGAATGGGTACTCAATAAATATTAGTTTCCTGTTCTCTTCTAAACATATTAGGATCTTCTCATTCTATTTTTATTAACATTTATTTTATTCCTAAAGCTTTCTTGGCTCCATTCTTCCTCCCCTCAAAACACCAACATGCGAAACCAACGAGCATTGAAACAACCCCCCTGCCACCCCCTTTCTCTGAACAGATGGAAATTTCATCTGATTTAGAGATCAGTCATCATCCCAAAATATAGAAATAGTCCTATCCCCCAACCAAAGACATAAAAAAATGTTAATTTGGATTTTAGAAGACAATTATGTAAACTCACCAAAGAGTCTGGAGGAGGCCCTGGGACTCCTTTTTTCTGAAATGAATATTAATTTAATGAGAAGGCAAAATTAATCCTTACAATCAGCAAAATGTATTATTCAGTGCACGCTATCGGTTGAATTGTGTCCTGCCAAAATTCCTATGTTTAAGTCCTAACCCCTAGTACCTCAAAATGTGACTGTTTTTGAAGACAGGGCCTTTAAGGAGGTAACTAAGGTTAAAGGAGGACACTAGGATGGGCCCTCATCCAATATGATTGGTGTTCTTATAAAAAGGGGAAGTCTGACCCCAGAGATACACACGGAGGGAAGACGACGTGAAGATACGTACACACAGAGAGAAGATGGCCGTCTACACAGCAAGGGGAGGGGCCAGGAACAGATCCTTCCCTCACGGCCCCCGGAAGGAGCCAACCCTGCCCACACCTTCATTCCAGTCTTCCAGCCTCCAGAACTGTGACACAATAAATTTCTGCTGTGTAAGCCATCCAGTCTGCGGCACTTTGTGACGGCGGCCCGAGCAGACTAACACAGTGAGCATCACAGCAATGACGATTTCATGTGCCCCATTCTATTTTCTAAATTTAAAAAACTGTGCATATATTGATGTGATAAAAATTACATTCCAAAAAGGCAACAGTAAAGTAAAATGAAATGATCATTTAACTTACAGCCAAAAGTTCCCTATATTTTGGAGGGAGTGTGACTTCTCTTTTACCCAATTCCTCTATGAAGGTAGAACTCATCGGATCCTGGAACAAAATGATACACACAGGGATATGATGCAATTAATTAGCTGAGAATATTATATATATATTCTGAAACCAAAGTACTATTCCACCACTAATTTATGGAACTATTGAGATGCAACATAAATCATTAAGAAGTCAATACAGTCATGCGGCACTGAATGACAGGGATACGTTGTGAGAAATGTGTCATTAGGCGATTTCATCATTGTATGAACATCATAGAGTGTATTTACACAAACCTAGATGGTACAGCCTACTACACACCTATGCTACATAGTACTAATCTCAGGGGACCACCATCGTATATGCAGTCTGTTGTTGACCGAAACGTCATTATGCAGCACATGACTGTACTTTACACAATTCTGAAATTCTAAGTTTACACAAATACTTGCCCAAATTCAATTGGCTTAACCCATATGTAATGCTAGAAAATATTCAAACCATTATATTAAATATGATTCCTGTATCAAAATACATTTTAAATGTTTTCATTATCTAATGTTTCCAATAATACAAAAGTACAGTTATAAAATGAATTTCTATATAACACAGCACTCAATTCTATCAGATCTATAGTTATTTCTTATACAATTCTTAAGAAAGAAATCAGACACAGTGATGTCTCCTGGGTAGCCCTCTCCAACTCTATACCCCTTCCTTGTTACCCAGACAGAGCCACCATTCTGAACTTTATCATATCCATCCACTTAAAGTTTAGCATATTTTAAAACAATTATTCCATATGTTAGATACCCATAAACAATATACATTACTTTGCATATTTTCAAATGTTATATAAATGGTATCATATTCTATATATCATTCTGTAAAGTATTATTTTTATTCAAAATTGTTTTGGTAAAATATCTATGCTGATACATGAATAATCCATTTTAGTCACTATAAGGTATTCCACTATATTATCTTGCCTCCTGCTGAATAAAATCATTTCCAAATGTTTCACCTGTTCTTATAACTCCTTGTTCAGATGGGCAAGCCTCCCCGCAGGGAAGCTCTGTGGCTGTGGAATTGCTGGTTGGAGAGTATACACATCTTCAACATCCACCATCTCTAGGAGAGCTGTCCCACTGTTCCCTTTTGCCAATCTGTTAAGTGTGACGTGGTATCTCTCCACTTCATATCGTTTTCCTAATTACTAGGGAGACTTTTATTGTATTTGTTTATTGGCCAATTATGTTTTCTCCTAATTTTCCATTGGGTTGTCTTTTTCCCACTTTTAAAATTCTTCATAAATTCTGGAAATAAATCCTTTGTTATGGCTGTCGCAAATATTTTCTTCCAGTTTATGGCACTTTTTTTTTTTTAGTACTAAGGAACATATAATTTTATTGCTTATTAGGAATAGGGATGAAATGAGGGTGGTAAATATTTAGAAATCAAAATAAGTTCAAGGATAGGATGGGAAAATATCTAGAAATAAAAATAAGTTCAAGTCCATTGGACTTAAATCTCAATGAGAGAAAATAAGTCTTTGCAACCCAATCAAACAATGTTTGCTGAACCAACATTGGTTGTTGGAATAACACAGCTACCACAGGACAAACCATTTCCATCTCCAACACCAATTTTTAGTTGCTATTATGCAACAGACATGACCCTGTTTCTCTCCAAGCAACATGACACTAGGTATTCTTTTGTGCCTCATGACCATGACATCATGACTATCTGCTCTCCTACCCATTAAGTATGAATCTCTACACATATCAAGATCACATACCAAAACTTCGGGTCCAGTATATGTTGTAGTATCTTCTTCAGCACCCTCAGGTTCTCCTAAAGTGTCTATTAAGTCATTCAAAGCAGCATCTATGCCTGACTGGAAAAGAAAGAGCAGATATTTAAAGATTACTTGTTATATATATTTCACTTTTGACTTAACTACAAAAAAACCATTCTGTGTAGAAAAATACAAAACATCAAAAGTTCTTCAAGTATCAAAATCATTAAAATCTGGTCTGTAATAGACCTTATTATTTAAAGTCCTAGAGTACAGATTCTAGGTTGGAAAGAGAAAAAGCCATACTCATGTAAGAATCACAATTTCAATAAGTCTAAAAGCATTAACTACATGAACAAATGTGTGCTTCATTAAAGCTGCAAGTCCAATGAACTGACAGTCAAAAAAAAAAAATAAAAGAAAAAACATAACAAAATACAAAGAATTATGATCATGTGATTATACTCAACAGGAGAAATGCTTGGTATTTATTGCTTATCAAGTTTTCCATAGTTATATACAAAAGAACCACAACAAAATCTCTCTGTGGCATCTCTTCCAGATAGAATCTGTTTCAAAAGTGGATTGCCTTGTGCTCTTTCATTCATTCGTGGTTTTTTATTCACTTGTTTGCCCAAAGATGTTTACAAAATAAAAATTTCCTGAAAGGGATGTTAAACTTATAAGAAGTGACAGTTTACTCTGTCAATATGGGCTTAAATCAGTATAAGGAATGAAAGAGTATCTCCAACCTATTTTACCTTTTTTTGCTGAGGAAGATTCGCCCTTAGCTAACATCTGTGCCAATCTTCCTCTATTTTGTATGTGGGTTGCCGCTACAGCATGGGTGCCTACGAGTGGTGTAGGTCTGCGCCTAGGAACTGAACCCAAGCCACCGAAGTGGAGAGCAGCAAACCACTAGGCAACGGGGTTAGCCCCTCCATTCTATTTTTGAGGTTAAAAATGATTCATTGAGAATAACCTGCATTTAAAGGGGAAGACAACAATTTTGGAAAAGACCTTTTACTACTTAACTCAGATTAAAAATGATTGTTTAAAATTCTTTTTGCTACTACCATGTTCCCACTACAGTTTTAGGACTACCGTGATCATGTAATAGAACTTGGGGCCTGTCTGCTTTCGACGGATTCAACTGGGAATTTCAGAATAAGGGAGTGCCTGACATCCTTTAGTGAGACCTCTGGGTAAAGAAGATGTATTTACAGGGGAGAAACGGGAAGGTAAACTCCATGAGATATAACTGGAGTTCTCAGAACAGAGGGTATATAAAACGTTACAAATATAAGTGAGAAAAGCACACTTTCAACTCAGTCAGATTAGCTTGAAACAGTAATTTATTTAAAAGGTCCTTTCAGTTACCACCACCCCATATTGTTTGCCCTCAAGAAATCAGATAATGATAAATATAGAGACTATGAATAAATATCTTATGTAGAAATGTACTGCTATCTTCATACCTCTCCAGACGGTTTTTCTGGTTTGGATTCAACTGGTACAGCCGATGTTAACGATTTACTTTCTTTTTTCTGGTGGGGGTTTAGAAAGAAATAAAAACTCTTTTTCACATACTTTTATAGAATTCAATAATTTTACATAATTAAAAATGAAGTCAATGATGAGGGATGGCAGGCAGACTTTTGGTGGTGAACATGATGTAGTCTATACAGAAGTTCAAATATAATGATGTACAGTTAAAATTTACATGTTATAAATCTATGCTACCTCAATAAAAAAATGAATTAATTATAATATTACTAGCATTGATCATGTACTGAAATTCCGCTCTGTGCCAGACAGTATCTGGTGTGTGTTACATGCTTTTTCACAACAGCATAAATAATACTAATCTCATTTAGGGATGTGGAAAGCAAGGCTCAGAGAGGTCAAGTAAGAACTCTTCCCAGGTCACACAGTAAAGGAGACAACCAACATTCGAATCCAGAAGTGCCTGCCTTTTTCTCCACTACTCTTGATGGCTTCTCCCAGGGCTCACAGCCAGTCTTTGCAGGACCTGTGAATTGTTTCAATAAGCGGCCACTTGTTCGCACTGCTGCGTTTCCAGTCTCTGCCAAGATTCACCTCTGCAATGCCTCTTGCATTGCTCCCCACCACCTCACTCTACCCCTGCTCTAACGCAGGCTAAATCAGGACTCACAGGACTACGGAAGCAGCCCCTGACCAACCTTCCACCGTCCTAGCTCTACTGCACTTCATCCCACCCACTGTGGCCACTTAATCTTTCTGCAGCTTGGTTCGAATCGCATCGCATCCCATCGGCTCTCTAATCTTCAGTGTTGATCTGCTGCCAGCTGAATCACTACCACATGTACAGACTCACCTTAGCATTCCCCAGAGCAGCGCCCCAACCCGTCTTTCTGGTCGCCCAGTCCCCACCACTTACCGCCCCTGTGCTTCACCCACGCTGGAATGCACTTTGTACCCAAACACATCTTATGCTTTTCCACCTTGATGCCTTTGCAGGCCTGCAACCCTAGCTACCCTTCCACACACCTAACTCAATTCCTTGTGGACTCCCCCAGTCAGACAGAATCCCACTGCCTCACCAAAGAGCTCCCTGCGGAGACCTTTCTTAATCTGCCTTGACTTCCAGCCCCAGGTATACAGGCTTCTCCCCACCCCGAGAAGGGCCAGCCTGCAGCTCAGGGGTCTTGAAGAGTCAGACCACAGTGCTTTAAACATGGTAGACACTAAAAAACAAAATGCAGATCTGATCAACTCCCTTTTATGGGAGACCAATCAGAGGCCAAGAAAAGTGAAATGACTTGCTACAAGTTCCAGCACAAGACAGTGCACAACAGAGTTCCATATAGGCATCTCCTAATTTTACTGTTTAGATTTGACTGGTAACCCTGGCTAATGTACAGCTAGCATAAAATTTCAAATTTGGACTACATTTTTAAATCTATTCTCATAGATCTAACCCTCTGCCTTAAATCTATCCATTTTTCAAACCATTTCATCTAAGTACTCCTCACCAACACAAGAGAGTCATGTGTCTCCTGGGGGTGGGGGTGGGGGTAGGTCTGCTGCAAGAAAAAAAATTTTAATTTAAGCTAGGTATTTTCATTTAAAAGTTTACGTAAATTTTGCTATTACTCTATAGGATCTCTGCGTAAGTTTGGATAAAAATAATGTGCCTTTTCTCTTTCAAAACCTGAGAAAAAAGGACATTTTAGGGAGACGTGCCATACCTGTATCCTATGCCTTTCTTCACCATCTAGCCTGTAGGGAGATCCTTTTCCCATTTTGAGACACAGGAAAATAGATAAATATATACTACTTTTTTCTATTTCATTTCCATCTTCTCATTGTTGCTTCAATTACTTACTTGGGGCCTCCAGAGAAATAAGTACCAAAATTTCTAGGCTGACACGGCCTCCAATCTGCTGACTCACTCTGTGTAATGCTATGTGCGGCAGACTACTACTCATCTTACATTGCTGGGCTAGCAGGTGAAGCAGCTCTTCCGAGGATCTAAGGAAGACCTGCCCGTGATTAGCCAGCAGGGCACATACTGTCTCTCCTGAGAGGCCTTGGGCTGTCTCCTTAAAAAACCTCCCACGTCCATTCATCTAGATGTCATGACTGTTCATGATTTACTAGTATCAAGATAGCTGGTATCCATGTTGAAAGCTGAGAGTAACGCTTATTCAAATTCTCATGGTAATTTTACTTGGCCGTATTTCAAACCTACAAATCTTGATGGCGGGATCTGAGTCAGCTCACAGGTTAATTTCCTTGGTACTGATACTAGGCCTTATACATGGCAGGTGCTCAATACTTACTGAATGTGTGGATTTTAAAACCATTTCCACTATCTTGCTCACTCAACATCCTTTAGATGCGTGCTCCTCTTCACAAAATTTCACATATGAACAGTGTTCAGTTTTACCAAATGATAGGTTATTTGAGTGTGATAGCAGTGGAACCCTAAATGGTTAACGAGAACCAGACCTAAAGCAGTGGGTTGGAATGGGTCTTCACTGAGCATACGTTTCTCATCAAAGCGATCTGATGAGCATCAAGGCCCATATACAGTTTATATCTGCTTTCGTGCTCACCTTGTCATCTGGTTTGCCCGATGCTGCAGCTACACCAGCAACAACAGTCTTTCCATCAGCAGGTATCGTGTCCTGTGATTTAGCCTAATGCAGGGGATAAGAAATTGACAAGACTAAGGATCTTTGAAAGATTATCTTTGCGATCACGCATTTCAAATGTCACTACTGAGCCCATTTACCCTCGTAGACATCTTGTAGGAGAATGGTCACTAGCTTCTACTGCACATGGTGCAACACTGGGCACCACATATGGCTGGACTCAAGAGCTTACAGAGTCTACACAGGTAACACAAATAGGTGAAGCAGGCCAGGTAGCACTGTGATAGACTGGAGCACACATACCAGGTGTAAAGGCTCTAATCGATTGTTGCCATGTGAGCCCACCATTGACAGATACTCCGATTTTTCAAGAGAAGCTAAAAATTTGTTTTTCCAAGTAAAGAGCAGATCAAGTAGGTCATCTGTGTTCCCATAGCCCATGAGGTGAGGGGTCCAGGAGGCAGCCTCAGTCCCAAGCTTCCTGTCTTTGAGACACCAGAGTCTGCCACCTGCCAGCCTACAGTCACAAGTGGGCACAGTGGGCAGTGGGAGAGGCTGGATGGAACATCCCCTAGACTCATCGGATGCCCTTCTCAGGCTTTCACAGGCCCAAGTTTCCAGAAGGCTATTCTGAAAACCTGTAAACGGACAGCACTAAATCATTATAACACAAGATCTATTCAGCATAGCTCCACAGCCTCACTTACACAAGTCAGTGTGGACAGAGGTCACTTACACAAGTCAGTGTGGACAGAGGACCTGCATTTTATTCCCTAGCTGACATTACTGCTTTCCTAACTATTAATCTGCTTTATTTACCTTTGGTTTTGCTGATTTCTCTGATTTCAGCTGCTCACTTGATGTGGAAACTGCTTTTTCTTGATGAGCATCCTTGCTTCCTGCATCTGATGTGTGCTTCGGTAGGCTTTTTGGCTGAAAACACACACACGAAACACATTGTTAAAACGATGACAAATGCTGATACTTTTTTCTATGGAGTAGAAAGTGTTCATAACAGTTGTATTTTATGTAGTTTTGAATTGTGCGAATTTAAATTAATGATATAAATGTGATAAAATTTCACTTTAAGCACAAAATTTTAAATAATGCAAATCCTTCTCCCCAAATTCAGCAAGAATCACGAGTAAATTGTAAATCCTACTATTGTCACATGGTGGCACCATTTTAGCCAAAAAACAAATAGCCATCCTCAGTAGGCCTTAAGTCTTGAATGATAAGAGTTTAGAATTTTATCTCACACACACACACACACACACACGCACGCACACAAAGCTTCACCTCGTGCTATCAAGTCTTAATGATAATCATTTACCTCTGTGTGTTCCTTTGGCTTTACTTCTTGGGTTTTTTTCTCATGAACCACAGATGGCTGCCGATTTCAAAAGATAAAATCTCAATTATATTGGAGTCCATTGTTTTCATATTTCCAAACAGGCTCAAGAACAAAATCCCCAATTAGACCATTCTGCCTCTCTTGGGAAAGGCCCAGTTACAGAAGTAGCCATGTGCTATCTGGGCAATAGTAATCCTACCAACAGTCGGATAATGACAATTATGAGAAGAATAATGAAAAATTTAATATTTCATAGAATGACTTTTGAAATAGGTATGCATCTCTGTATTACTGGCTGTTTTTCACAATTTATGTAGATCATTTGGTAACTGCAGGTTCATCAACAGAGATGTCAAATGATCACTGTGACCATTGAGCTTGTTGATAGGGAATCCAACTGTAGAAATTAACTTTTTAAAAAAATCTCCCTTCATAGAAGATGAAGAACACTGTATTTTCTTCAATTAAATGATTTACACAGTCTTTTCTGTGTAAATCATTTTCTTATGTTTCTTATGTTTCTACATTTCTTATGTTTCTACTTAAACATAAGTAGAGAAGAAGGTATCACCAGAAACCCAATTCTCTTGAGATTGGGTAGATCACCAAAAGCATTTAAATATGGAATAGAAGACAATTTCCTCCTAGCTCCTGAATTCTTCCTCTAGAGTAGAAAATGGAATTATCATCCTCAGGGGCCACCAAGAGGCCTTATACAAAATCAGATAAACCTCACCTCTCACTCATATGACCTCACCCTTGTCTGCACTTAAAGTACTTCAGCCCAAAGCATCTCCATGCTCCCACAGGAAACCTTGGTCTTATCTGAGTATTTGCTTAAGCGTGTTTGGAAGAAAGCAAGCGCAGCAGCTGACTGAGGAAAAACACTGGTCCTGCCTGCAGACACCCTGGGGTCCATCTCCATGTGGGCAGAGACAGGCTTTCTGTGCAGACAGCCAGGAAGCAGGAAGGCAAGGGAAACTTTCCCAAGGGAGAGTCAGTGCTGTCTCCCGAGTAACTGAGAACTAGTTCCACACACTGAGATGAGACTGTCAAGATAAACCCAGCTGGTCCCTTAGGAAAGACTCTCATCTTTAAGTTATCTAGGTGTTAGGTTCCACAGACACATTTATTTTTGATGTGTCGTCATTAAAGTAATTGGATACTCATTACCCTTTGCCCTTTCTCCTTTGTTCCTGCGGCTTAGTTTTAACAATTATTTCACTTGTAACAAGAATCTAGATTTGAACAAAATGCCTTCTGAAATATATTGCTTTCACTTATAAAATACTATATATTCTGGGGGCTGGCCCTGTGGCTGAGTGGTTAATAAGTTCATGCGCTCTGCTGCAGGCGGCCCAGTGTTTCATTGGTTCAAATCCTGGGTGCGGACATGGCACTGCTCATCAAACCACGCTGAGGCAGCGTCCCACATGCCACCACTAGAAGGACCCACAACGAAGAATATACAACTATGTACCAGGGGTCTTTGGGGAGAAAAAGGAAAAAAAAAATAAAATCTTTAAAAAATAAAAAAATAAAAAATAAAAAAATAAAAATAAATACTATTCATTTTAACATGTTAAAATGTTAAAATATGGATTTAATGCTATAATTATTTTATATATAGTCCATATAATCATGCTCAAAAGGATGAATTAGTTAAATTAGCTGACAAAATTCCTTTTACCATTCAGTACCACCAATGAGGAAACCGGTTATTCATTATTATTGCAAAGAATTCAAATAACTCACTAAGTGACTTAAATACTTACCTTAGTTGACTGTGACTTCTTTTCAGGTTCTGTTTTTACAGCCTAAATTCACACAAATAAACAAAGAAAGGAAGGACAGAAAAATGGACATAGTTTACGAAGTTTATCAAAAATTTTCTTCAACCAAGGAAGCTAAAAAGAGATGATTTTCATGTATTTATAAATATAAACTTTGAGTTAAGATTATTACACTTTGCTTGGAATTGTAACTCCTTAGATAAACACTTAGGCACCATAATTATCAGTCTGCTCTTAGTATTTAGATGGCCATTTACATCTTATTTCTTGCTATGTGTATCAAAGACATGTAAAGATTTACTACTACAAACATTGTAGATAATACACAAACAAAATAAAATTAAAACCTTCATCCCTCAAAGCCACTGACATGATGGATCTGCTTATGAGTGAAACACTTACCATAGGATTCAGCTGATAGTGTGAAACAATGGGATGGTGACAGAATTGAGGGCACAGAAAGCAGTGAAATTTATTTTTAGTGCTGGAATGTGAGCGATGGATAACTAAGCCTGTGACAAGTCAGAGCATTACAGAAGATTGTGAACTGCAATTATTAGCACGTGCTGAGCGGCTGAAGTGACCATTAGTAATTAGAAATGTCCCCTAGTATAACGAACCACATCACCTGTTTTCTGTGTCTTTTCTTGTTAGGAGAATGTGGTCCTTCCATCTGTTTGCTGACTGGAATGGCCTAATGTAAGAGCACAGCCGCAAGGGTGATTTTATTTTATCTGACAGTCAAATAAGTAACAAGTATAAACAGGGCTAAAATGTTTTTATCGAGACCCATTCTATTCATCTATTGCATCTACTCTATGCATATGTATATAACTCCAAGAAGTTGTAGGCGCTTAAATTCTAAAGTCTCAGGCAAATATTTCAGTTTGGATTTACTTTTTTTCTGTGATAGGGAATCAGTAAGATTTCCATTAATAAAATTAATTTCTGATCCCTTTCCTTCCCCTTCCTTCTCTGTGTAAGAGTGCTTAAGCAATATTTTTTCCACCTATATTTCAATGTTTAGTAATGATCAAAGGACTAGTCATAGGTGTTGTCAAAAGTTTTCTGAAATCTTGCCAACATAATTTTTACAATAATTTTGTAAATAGTGTGTGGATTTTTACTGCATAATAATCTAATGTAAAATTCTAGGAATGCTTCTGAAGAGGTGATTGTGATTTAGGATCTTGAGAGGAGTATCTTATAGAGTTTTACCCAACCAAAAGTTACCTGTGTCAAAAAAGACAATTCCTTAAGTATGCACACATATTCTCAGTATAGGTAAGATATGAAAACAAGAAGACTTGATTAAATATTTTATGAATTTTTCAAAGTAAGAGATTAAAAATTAGGCCTCATGCTTCCTGCCATTTCTTTCCCTTTTACCTGTTTGGTGGTATCAGCATAAATCCTTATTTTTAATTCTATTTTCTGAAGAGGCTAACACCAAATATCCTCTTAATTTATTATGTCTTGTGCTTCGGTAACGAAGATACATATGTTCCTCACATAATGGGCCCTTGTTAGACCAACACATGTATTGTTTGGGGAAGGAAGCAAAGTTCATGATCAAAGACGTTTCTAAAATTTTAAATTTTGGATCCTTTCACATTGGATCCTTGTTAATGAGTTTCTGTATGTGCCACAATACTTTCTTGAGTTCATGCAAATACAATTTATTAAATGATTAACAGGGAAAGCCAGCTGGTATTGTAGTGGTTTAAATCTAAAATAGCTTCTAATCTGTAATTTGGCAATCAAGATTTTGCATGGAAGAACTCTACCATACAATTAAGAATGTACGCTCACAGACACAGCAGCTTATAATGAAATGCACATTTTAATCAGCAATCACTAACACATTTCCTAACGATGTTTGGTGGTAGTGGGGATGGTGAACATAACAGTGATGACAGTAATAACTAATGCTTATTGATCACCTCTTAGTACTAGGGACTGTTCTAAACTTTACATGTGCCAACTCACTTAGTCCTCATAATAATTCTCTGAGACAGGTATTATTATTTATTATTATCCCATTTCATGGATGAGAAATTGAGGCACAGAGAAGTTAAATAACTTCCCAGGGACACCCATGGTGGAGCTAGGGTTGTGTGTTCTCAATCATTGTGCTGCCCTGCATTGTCTCTCCAGTACCAGCCAGCTCCTGCTGGGCACCTGCTGTGCGCTGTCCAACATCCTTCTATGTTTGCTGCCTTACAGAATCTTGTGAAATACATACTATTATCATTCTCCTACAAACTGTACAGATAAAGAAACCAAAGTAAAGAGGAGCCTTCCAACTGCTCAGCCAGTGTGGAACCAGGATTCCAAGTTGGGCCATCTGGTTCCAGCGTCCACGCCACATGGCCTCTTGGAGATCTCATCCTGATTAGAAATGATTTGACCTTCCGTCTGACACACAGCAGTGTGACTACCAATTCTAATGTGCTAGTGAAAGAGAGACAGAACTTAGATCCAGCCAGATCACCCCCCTTTAGAGCTACACTGACTTTCATTTGAAAGAAGTAGGATGTGACAAGGATTTCATATAGGTATTACCTTGAACTAACATCTTTTCTCTAAAAGATCAAAATATTTGGAGAACTACACTCATCTAGGTCACAAAAATCTCTAAGAGGAGACTAGTATCAATGTTATGAGCCAAATATCAGAAGCATATGAAGTGATTAAGGAGAATAGTGTGATTGAAATCCATCAACAACAGAGAACTGAGGCCAAAAGTTGTCCTGAGTCAGCCATCAGTGACATGACGTCATCATGTGCATCTTATTTTTGTCTCTCCCTCTCTTCTTTCTCGTACTTTCCTCTCCCTCTCCTCCCTTCCTCCAGTTCCGTAGGACTGCCAAGAATTCTCATGATTAATGCTTCAGCAATGACTGAAGAGTCTGACACTTGCTCTGGAAAACAGGGCACACTTGAAACAATCATTGGTCCTCGAGCTGAGAGTCAGGCAGGATGAATTAGAATCAGGCAATGGGTCAAATGAGAATCAAAATAATAAAAAGGAAATCCTATATTTCTGGCTCTCCCTTCTATCTCCTTTCTTCAGTTTTCATGGACTCTAAGTTCAGTGAGAACTCTTTTTTTTGGTAGAAGCTTCTACTATAATCTTAAAATTATTTTAAGATTAAGATCAGTTTTTTTATTTTTTAAGATTAAGCTTGGTATAAATAAGTAGTGACAGCTAATAGATAAATTAGGCACTGGATGATGTAAATTATGAATACAATTAAGAAATTAATATAAATATAAAACACTAAATAAAAACACAATTTTACGTTAAAAATAAACTTAAAAATGAATGCTAAATGACATTTATAAGAGCTTAGATTTGGACAGTGTGTTTCAAGACTTTTGCAATGTCCTTTAAAAACAGCTCAAGATGAGGCCAAAGGTTCCCCCAACAGCATTAAGTTACGGCACCAGTACTAAACTTTGGCATAGGATTCCACTGGGAAAGCAAAATAATATGGAAGACAGAAAGCAAAAGCATGTGAATGATTTTAAACAAGGGCAACTTAATAGTAACAGAGCTGAGACAGCCCTTAAAGGCACTAAAGAATATTGGCTCACAATAATTAGTTGAGAACATCTTGAAAATGCCCCTTCTTTAATCCCCCATCCTAGAATATTCCCAAGAAACAGAGCTTGAGACATGGTAACTAAAGGGTTCAAGCCAGCTTCAACCAACTCTTCAGAACTAGGCTTACGTTATGTGGCAATCCCACTGGAGGACAATCTTTTATTTTTCTTCTGAAATTTCCAGAAGTATTATTAGAATAAATCCCAATCAGAGCTCAGCAAAGGTTTATCAATAAGACGGTGCTCCACATGGCTCAAATTTCAGGAAGAAACTTCAGAAAGCATCTGAAATAACCACTGTCCGTTTCACTTCTATGTTCACTTAGTGTAACCTTCCTCATTCTTATATTTAGTTTTAAATGGCCAGAATAATAAAACCATTTTAGTAATAAGTTAAGAATTTATATTCTCATTTAGATCCAGAGAAACGTATTGAGATTACCTTACAATTAAAAAACTCAATCAAGTCTAGGACCAAAAAAATCTGGATGACTATCCTTTTCTAAATATTCTAAAGCAATGCAGACATGTAGAGATGACATTTGAGGTGAACACTGGAAGGAAAGCTGAGTTTCCAAAGATCCCCATAGATTAGGGAAAAAATGCTTACTTCCCTAACCTAAGCTTTGTAGGACACCTAACTCATGTGTCAACAATTAGTCTACATTTGTTTTGCTTTACAATATACTCAGCCTAAAGGCATTCACTCAAGTTGATCCTTAAAGATACTTCATACCTTGGTTTCTGTGGGATTCATACTGTAAGACTTGCTTGTCGAAGCAAAGGAAGTTGACACCTAGAAAGGAAAGAAATAGAAAGTTTGATTCTAGTTAACCTACAACCTACTTCATCCTTCAGCTCCTCTTAACCATATTTGCTCTTAACTCTTTACTTTGGTTTACCTCGTCTCCAGTACCACTCCCATAAGAGGCAAGTAGGTGGTACTGCCCAGTGGGTAAAAGCCTTTATAATCAGATCAAATGAGTGCAGATTTTGGGTATGCTACTTAGTTAATAGTTTTTCGCAAGTTACTTACATTTTCTGATCTTCAGTTTCCCTTGTCTCAATTTTTCTTGAATAGATAACTACCTTATAAGTTTACTACTGTCTGGTCCATTAAGTGCTCAGTAACTATTCAAATAATTGTCTGTGTTATTTTTAGGAAGAACACGGACTTTCAAACTTGACAAAATTTTGTTTGAATGCCAGCTCTGCAATCATTAGCTCTGTGACTTGGAGTCTTAGTTTCCCAGGTATATAAAATGGGGCCTCTAATATCTATTTTGCAGGGTTGTATTTGAGATAATGTGTGTAAAACGTCTGGCACACTGGAGGTACTCATTAAATCACTAGTCCATTATTCCTAAAATATTATACAAGATAGAAGGAGCAAGAACTTAGCTCTGGGAAACAGACTCAGGTAGATTAGCATTGCCCTTTGAGTGTCATGTAAGGAAGAGAAGGTGGGAGCTGGGGTTGCCGAGGGGATATAGCTTTTTCATCGGTCTCATTTAGGCTCCTCCCTGGAGGGCAAGAGGTGATGAATGGTAACTGAAGTATTCAAGAAACACCCTTCCTAGGCATGCAAGGGGGTGGTGGAATCAGCCCCGCAAACCAATCACCCAAGCGGTGGATGTGCACATGGACACTGGCCTGGTAGTGAGTACCACTCTAGTCCTAACTTGTATTACACTGGTTAAAATTAAACAGACAATGACTAGCTTTGGGAATTCCAATGCAGGCTCATTTAAACCTCCTTAAGATCTGAGTCAGTTAGGTTTAGCGACAGGAATTCCATCTGGCACAAGTTGCCTTCTAAAGTAACGGGCTGTCAGTAAACAGCTGCTGTCCTGCCAATAATACCCAGAGGCCTGTCTCTGATGCCCGGCTTTGAGCCACTTCAGAGGCTGAGTCCGAGGGCAGGATGAACCCATCCCTGCTGGTCAAAGCGACTGTATGAACTCACCTTAACCCATGGCCCACGAGCAAAGTCACCCTCCTCACAGACCTCACTTAATGTAAAACATGTTGATGCTTATAGTTAAATTACCACAAATTTACAAGATTTAGTATACTGATTTTTCAAATATAATCATATGAACTTAACTATTCCTGAGCATCCTTAGGTACCAATTGGGCACCCCCTCACCCCAAAACACAAACACATATAGAGACCCGGTCACTGTAGCATAGGCCTGAAGTGGTCTCTCTCACATTCTCTTTGGGATAAAGAACTGGAAGATGTACCAAGGTAGATTTCTCCCGTAAAATTAATGGATTGATTGTACATGAGTGTTCATTTCTCCTTGTGAATACTTTTTAAAATTGGGATTAACCTACACATATGTATATAATTCTTTCTACAACTAGAATTGGTTGTACAAATTTCCATTCAAACTCAAGAAGTCCCACTTTGCTACATCCCACTCCTGTGATTTCCCTCAACCATATAAAACCACCGAAGACCAAACACTCTACATCAAAGTGCTTTGTAAGCTGCAAATCTTCAGGTGAACATTATTTTCTAAACATCCGGATTTATTAAAACATTCCTGAAATCACATAGCCTTGGGGTTTCCAATCTAGCTTACTACTTTATTAAGCAATAGCTGGATGTGATCCTCAAATTCTAGAAGGAAGACTTTCAAAGGCCCACCAAGAACAGTAAAATCTACATGGAATAGCTATTAACAAGCTGGGGCAGGTTATCACGGGAATTTAGCTGAAGGCCTTGGCCCCATCGGTCCTCAGCACAGATCCCTCCATGAGAGTTTTATCCCATCACTAAGGCACTAAAAATTCTGAAACTGAAATTGGAAAGCTATTTCATGGGGACTGGAAATAAGAGAAATAATTCCACCCCACTGCGAACCCATTCAACTCTGGCTAATTGCAGTTTGTTCAATTTTCATTCTATTTGTAAGACAAGGAACTTTTAAAATGTATCTGTAGTGAGGGACTGAATACATTTTCATTTTAAATCTTCTGTACTGTTTGAACTTCTAACCATGGGTGTGAATAACTGGTAATTAAAAAAAATGACGAGTTAATCCATAAATCTTTGAACTGAAAAAACTTAGAGATAAACCTTTAATAACAGGTTTTAAAAAGATGAGGACAACAGTATCTCACAGGGGTTAGTGGCCTGTCAAAGTTGACCACAGTTCAGTGGCTCCACAAGTACTTATCTAGAACAGAGTTTGTGCCAGGTACATTAGGTGACAGGAACACAGTGGTGAAACGGATAGACACGTCCCTGCCCTTTCGAAAGTTATAGCCTCGTCAGAGATCACCTTAATAGAATAATCACTTGAATGATTACTTGTGGTAAATGCCGTAAAGGTGAATCACAGGGTTCCCTCAGAGCACAGACTAGGCAACCAGAGCTGGTTCGGGGACAGTCAGGATAGTTAATGTGGTGATTAAAGGATAAGGGGGCATCACCCAGATAAAAGGCTGTGTGTGCCGGGGCTGGAACCTAGACCATCTGATTTCTAAAACAGTGACTCTGCTACAGGACCTACCCTCGGCCAGTCCTGTTAACCTCAAGGAGCAGCCAATCTTCAAGCACAACCATCAGTCAGCATACATACCAAAAGAACTCTATGGGGTCAGTGCTGGTAAATCAGCCATAGCAATACCTTCCCTCCCAAGTGACCCTTACAAATCTCTTAACATCCAGAGCATTATTAGTCATTTATAAACTTAAATTAAGGCATAAATCAGAGTAACAAGGAGCAGAGAAAATGTACCTAATGTAATCATTCTCCACCCACCGATTCAACTGCTATTTAGCAAGCAATGAGCCGGGGGCTGAGGATACACAATGAATCAGACACCATCAGAGCCTTGAAAGAGTTCGGAATCCAGTGAGATAAAACAGACATCAAGCAGGTTTACGTTACAACTTAACTGCTCTAACAGAGGCAGGAAGAGAACCCCACGTGACAAAACAAACGTTTGAGCTCTAAGTCAGTTTCAGGCCCATCCCAAATAACCTTGTCATATTGTCAAGTTGCATTAAAAATAAACCAATATGGGGGCCGGCCCCGTGGCCGAGTGGTTAAGTTCGCGCACTCTGCTGCAGGCAGCCCAGTGTTTCGTTGGTTCAAATCCTGGGTGCGGACATGGCACTGCTCATCAAACCACGCTGAGGCAGCGTCCCACATGCCACAACTAGAAGGACCCACAACTAAAATATACAACTAGGTACAGGGGGGCTTTGGGGAGAAAAAGTAAAAAATAAAATCTTAAAAAAAAAAATAAATAAACCAATACTGACAGAGAGTAACTGCAGCCTAGAAAAAATTAATATTTAATCCTGTACTTAACCAATATGGCATCTTATTTTCTGGCATTATTCAACAAAATCTCTTTAAATTTGTTTACTTGCTACAGTAAGAATTTTGGAAGTTTACTGCATTAAACAATTAGAGACAAGAGGGGAAGATGGTATGCTTTTAAGACCCTTGGAAAATGGAAACTGCTTTCCTTTTTCACATATATTTTGCCAAGGTCTCCCAGACTCCAGCCTTTTAGCTTGCTTACCCATTCTGACCAGATTAATCTTCTTCTGAGATAAAACTCTCAGGCATGTTTCCCTTTAAAGTAGAAACAGCAGTGACTCCTGCTGCCCACTGCATCACACACAAATCCTTTCTCTTGCCTTTAAAGGCTCCAATCCCACCCCATCTCCCAATGCAGATCAGCTGCTCCAGGCAGCCAGCCCATCTGAGCACACTTCACTCACCTCTCCCTTTATATTTTTTTCGCACAAGTGCCACTGGTTGGGACGCTTCTCTTCTCCAAATATCCAAAACCTACACGCCCTTCCTTTCAGGCATATCTCACTAGCTCCCAGCCCTGGCTGTCCACTTCCATCAGTCCTCACTGGGCATCTTCTTTTCCAATCCCAGCTCAGTTACTCATAGCACCATATATAGTCAGGTAACCACATCACTGCATCATGAACTGTCTCCTCCACCAGATGGGGTCCCTTTAAAATAGCTGTCTGGTGGGGACACTAACCTGCTGACCCCCACTCTTACCCATGGCAGGTCTCTATCCAGGGCTTTTCCTTGATTCTGTAAGGTGTCTAGTGAGGCTGCAGGAGAAGAGGAGCAGGACCTAGGACCAATCTCAGCCATCCTGTGATGCTAGATGTGAGTGGGAGGGTTGTGAGCTCACCCACAGGTCCTGGTGAATGGACCAGTTAGGGAGAGCAAGGGCTCCCTTAGAAGGGCCAGGTCCTAGAGGGCTTCCTCATCCTTCCACTGCCACTAAATCTGGCTGAAAAATCATTCCCTCAGCTCCTTACTTCTCTATCACTATAGAGTCCCTCCATGCGCTTGGGTTCCCAGAAGACTTTCAGCTTCTTTTCCAGCACTTGCAGCTGGTTTATGGGAATCCTCCCTTCCTCCCCTCCAGTCATTCAGCCTCACCTTGATCTCTCCCCCTGTCCTGAGCTGGCTTGGGTTCAGAAAGTGCACGCAGAGAGTGAGTCGTCAGAACTGTTTCGCCTCACCCCAGACTTTGCTTCCTTTCCCCACACCTTGCTGGCAGCATTCCCACAACCTCCCACCTGCAGCCACCCTTCACACACCCAATCTGCCCTTGTTTGTTGCGGGCTACTAAGAACGCTGGGTACACGTACATACTCTCTTTTTCCACCTGATCAGCAGCTTCATTTGGAATCAATGACCATCCTCTCCTGCATGGCCCCTGTGACACAAGGAGCCCAAGTTCTCGCCCCAGCTCTCTGACCTGTTTCCTTCTGGAAGCCTCTTGCACTTGCTC